GACGATGAGATATTAAAAAGATGATTATGGTATTTTAGGAAAAACGTGTCACATTTCTTATAATTAACTAACTTATTTAATTTCTTTAATATAATCAAATTAGTTAAATGGGTCTTATATTAAAAATTGGAGGAGTAAAATGCAAAAGCTAGAAAGATAATAGATGGTAGTTCAACTACAAAAGCATGAATAAATATATCAATTTTAATAAACAAATAAAACAATATTTAAAAAGATTTAAAATATATATTTTTTTAGAAAAAAAATATTCTTGAAATTATTCAGAACTATAAATTATTTTAAATTAAATATAAAAATACAAGTATTTTTTGGCAAAAATAAAAGACAATTTTTTGAGTCATCATCTCCTCCGACTGCATAGGAGAAATATTTAGTTTATAATAATTATATGCTTAGTAATTAAATACTCCTCCTGTCCTTAATATAAGACCCATTTATACTAATTTGATTAGATTAAAGAAGTTAGGTAAGTTAGTTAATTATAAGAAAAGTGACATATTTTCCTAAAACACCATAAATCATCTTTCTTAATACCCCATCTCCCTCTCTTCCACTTGATTATGGTTGAGATAATATTTATAGGGGTAATTTAGAGAAAATGATAAATATGAAAAATGGGTCTTATATTTAGGACCAAAAATCAAATCAAGAATTGGGTCCTATATTAAGGACCGGAGGAGTATATTAATACGTAAATTATATGTTTTTTTTTTTTGCCAGCAGTCAATTATATGTTTATATGCTATTAGCATTAAATAATAAATTTATCTATTTTATCAACTCAATCTAATCCTGAAATCGGCACTCAAAGTTTCAAATTACTTCCTATGTATCTGCACCTGATAACGTATACTCAATATTTAGATAGCTTGATTAATCGTAAATGTCACCAATTTATTTGCCAATTTAGCCCCTATTAGCCATATCTGCATTTTTTAACACCACTTGGAGATTCAATATTCATCTCCTATTTCTAGAGTACTGGGGTTAACAGATTAAATTGAGCAAAATATAGGGAGTGATTCAAGAAGATTCAAAGTATGAAGGCTAAGTTTAAAATTAAATAAAAATATAGTCATGAAATGTTTAATTTTGAAAAAGACGACTAGGTGCAACTTCTTTGAGCTGTTCAACAGACAAACGCTTCGATCCTCCTAATGCTAACGGCAACAGACAACGGTAAAGTAAAACAGAACCTTCTCTCATCGACGCGGAAGCAAGACCCGTTCCTTCGTGCGACAAATATTCTCTCTGCCTCTTACCTCCTTTTCTCCAAACCCATCCCCCAGATCTTCAAATTCCTCAATTTCCGTCAATTAGGGTTCGGTTCAATTTCAACCCTCCGATTCCCCCTTCCAAATTGGTTCCATTTTTCTTCAATTTCAGATTTTAGGTTGGTCTCGAATTCGGCAGGCGAGCCTTCGGCAGCTCGCCTTTTCCGTATTCAATCATGGCCATAATCTCCCGAACCCCATTCTTTACGTGCTTTTTGGCCGTTGCGATTACCGTCTTCACCATCTGCCTCTCTCCCATGGTTCGAGCACAAGGCGATTCGTCATCCCTCATCCAGTTACCCTCTGAATCCTCCAACGAAGCCCGGAACTTGTGCGCCGGAACAGCACCCGCCTCATGTCCTGTGAAGTGCTTCCGGACCGACCCCGTCTGCGGCGTCGACGGCGTCACCTACTGGTGTGGATGCGCTGAAGCTGTCTGTGCGGGCGCTAAAGTTGCCAGATCGGGATTTTGTGAAGTGGGCAGCGGGAGTTCGGTCTCTCTCCCGGGTCAGGCGCTCCTATTGGTGCATATTGTCTGGCTCATTGTGCTTGGGTTCTCGGTATTGTTTGGTCTCTTTTGATTACTGACGCTAATTTGTGAGGATTTGGTTCGCTATGTCACGTGCGGTCTTCTTGGTCTATGAGCATACCTTTCGGGAATCTTTGCTTGGTTATTGCGAGGTTGTGTGCGCGTTGCTTTGTATGCAAAAGAGGGATTTATAGATATTAATCTTCTTTGCATTGATATTCTTTTGTCAAATACTGACCGGAAATTCTTGTATTGTGTATATCAGTTTTTTCTCACTGACGTTGGGAATTCTCGTATTATTTTGCTGCGGATTTTCTTAGTTTTAGATTAAGTTTGTCAGTAGTCAGTCATACGTCCAATGGATGGCTTTTCTCCAATTTCTCTTCGTGTGATGTTTGTTTTTTTTCCTTCCATTTTAGCATTGATAGTATACTTGAGAACACGTTGTATACATCAAGCATTAAAATTTTCGGATGACACAGCATGTTGTTACTGGAAGATTAATAATTTTCATGGTTTTTGGCAAACATAGTCATAAACCAGTTGTGGAAATATTATTAAGTCATGCCTTGCACCTGGTTGAAGTTAGCTTGAATGCTGCCTGAGAATATGATCTAGATTTTAGGATGTTATATTTTGGTGTCTGAAATTCCATGTGCATATATCTTCAGAGTTTATGACTTTATGTAAGGATCTTAGCTTCTTTTTTTTTTTTTTCATTTTATTGAACGAAAAAACACAAATGTCTTTAATTCTTTAGAGATAATTCTATAAGTCGTCCCTGTGTCTTATCCAACGTAACAATTTAGGGAAAATATCCTTTTCAGTACTTATGCTTATTTTGTTTAGGGACATAGGGAGTATGATTGTATAAATTTATCATTTTCTGTTTCTTCTTTGGGTACTTGCAAGTTCCCTTTTCTTCCTCTCATTTGGGGCCTTGTTGATGGTGTTGGTACTTGGCAGACCTGCCATCAGTTGGTTACCCCGCTTAATCTTTTTATGGCTTGGATGATGATCTGATGGGCAAGCTGTATCTTTTATGTTTCCTGTGTTCATAACTTACAAAATCTTCAGCACTGTGATGTCTGTTACATATTCTTCTTTCTACTAATTATAATTATTTATATCCTTCCAACGTATAGTTATGGATTGATCATTAACAAGAAAGGAAATGGTTATTACAATTATCTTGTTTGAGACTAAGAATCACCAGGTATGAATTTTGCAAGTGAAATGAGAAATAGCTTAGGACAATGGCGTCCGGTGTAATGTCCTCAAATTCATTCATATTTGAGCAGTTAATAAATTATAGCATGTACTTACTGAAATACATTCATCTTTGAAATTTTATATTTCTTATTCTTTCGAAAATTACCTGGTGACCACTGTCTAGGCTGCTTATACAACTGGATGGCAGTACCAACTAAAATTTTAGTCGCTTGAACCTTGGGTTGTTTGTTGCGTCCTTTATGTTATAGCATGTACTTGCGCAAATGTGAGCTTGCATAAAGCGTTTAAAATGCTGAATAGTTCATGGATTTACTTTTTGTGCATTATTCAATATAAATCAGTAACAATTGAATTGTAGATCATTCGGCCTTTGGCCTGATAACAAGTTATGGTTGGCAAATTGTCTCTTGTTTATGATGCAGCGCTCTTTTGATTCACAACAAAATCTTTTGAGCTGGTTATGGAATTATACTATTCCTTTATCATTAACGCCTGGCTGTCAGAACTAAGGTATTATTGGTGACAGTCGGTTCTTAGTTGTTTGGACACATTGATGTGAATGAGGCTTTACCCGGGAGATTAAGATATGCAGATATGCCGAACAGTTCTTTTTTATTACCTCCCTGGAATTCACTCAATGAAGTTGCCACTTTTACATGCAAAATTTGAGTGCGCGGAACAGGCAAAACAAATTTCGTTCCTCCCTGTTCACATTGCCAATTAGCAACAAATGATGTTGTTAAGGGTCTTAAATGTCAAGCTACAAATAGAATGAAGTTGTATCTAACTCCAATCATCAATACTGCAAGAACTGCTAGCAGTGACCTGACATTCAACTTGATTTTCAACTTGATTTTGCTTCCCGCTCGGTACTGAATTAATGCTTTGTTAAATCCACAGCTGAAAAGAAAAAGAAAAAACAATAGATGGTCTAAGAATTAAACTTTAATTATTAAGGATGGCGGGTATGGTATTGTTAGACTATTCCCTCTTCTTGGGGTTCTGAAGTGTGAACATGGGTCTGTCTTTATTATTTTCGCTCTTATCAGTCGTTGTAGAAGTTGCAGGGCTTCCATGTTGAGTCATGTTCCTTGAGCCCTTATTCTTCTTAGCCTCGTCAGAGTAATCGTTCCCCTCAATTTGTCCCATGGAAGTGGGTGTGCTTCCGACAATTTTCTCATTGGAAGCATCACCTAACAAAGTTTTGTACATAGTGAGAGCTTGAGCCATCATGTTAGCCGGATTGGATGCGGAGCTAGGAGGCAACATCGTTGTGCCCTGGGCAAAAAAAGGAGAGAGGTTTTGATACTGACGAGTAGTGCAATAAAGGAACTTTTGTGTTAATCAGCTAGTAGGGCTACCTCCTTGGCTATGTTACTGAAGGCTTGAATATATTGCTCCGCAATGCACAAACTCGCTTCCTAAAAAACCGGGGGGGGGGGGGATATTAACGCGTTCCCTGCCATTCCATGAGCTTCAGTTAAGTTAGTGATACATGCCATCAATAGAATATTTCATACCCCAGGTGGGATCACCCAAACGGATTTTCTTGAAACTTCAAAGGTAATGTAATATAGCCCTAACTACAACATCAAAAAGCCTATGTGAATTATCTAGAAATCAGATAATACAGAAGCTTGTCTTTCCAAAAGGGTGACATTGACAGGATTCTACACAATGAAAATCCAGAAAATTTCTAGACTGCGATGGACGACAGAAGTTTCAACATTTAATGGTAGTAATATATGAAGATCAACAATGAATTGAACTCATTGATGATTAGCTCACTGCTGATACAAGTCGTAAACCATGCAACATTAGCAAATTAAAGAAACCAGCCTCTAGTCCACCATTTTCTTTTAGTGCCTCTGACCCAAGGGCAAGTCCCTCAGCTGTTGCTCTGGCCCTAGCAAGAATGGCTTCAGCCTCACCTGAGGAAAAACAATATTAGTTATGAAGGTCTCAACGTACCAAAAGAAAGTAACATCATAGCAATACAACAATCATGAAATTCATCAGTTGCTTTCCTTCCAAGAATTGTGAAGTGAAGAAAACACAAGTAAAAAGCCGGTCAAAGTGAAATACAGTCAATGAGGATAGGTTATGATGAATAACATAGATTAACAACTAAAGAAAGATATCACCATAACCGATAGTTCAATATCCTCTAGTCACGCAAAAAAAAAATATAATATATATATCTATTTTACTGAACAAAGAACATCTATAGACGAATATTTTAACATAAATCACTCAAAAATATAGTCGAATGAAGGGTTAGCACATCATGTTTGCAGGTTATCACGAATTACATAAAAAATATTACTGTAAATTTGGGAGTGAATAGGACCTTGAGCTCTGTTAACTTGATCCATCTCTGCAGCTTCTGATGCCAAGATTACTAAACTCTCTCTTTCCGTCAGCAATGTTTCTGTGGGCCTGTCTCTCTCCTGCACAACATTTAAGGTCAACCGACGAATACACAAACTACAAAATGGATGAGATAATAAACAGAATATCATCCTTGAACCCCTTGAGAATTAAATTATCAGATTGATCACCTTCAGATTCAAGAATTTGAGCCCTCTTTTTCCTTTCCGCTTCTGCTTGCATCTCCATAGCTGCTCTCACTCCACGAGGAGGAAATGTATCCCTTGAAGAAGAATAATGGCAAAAGAGATATCAACGCAAATCCTGCCTTCTAATTAAGCCAAGGCTTGATTTTTCTTCTTTCCGAACGGATAAAAATGATTTTCCTGCTCAAAGTCTTTTTTTTTTTTTAATAACTCAAGAGTATCTTCGAGTTACTTTAGGTTTGAGACTAATCTCTGTCAGACTAAAAGTGTTAAGATTAAAATCACCCCAACAATTGCTCTTCCCCGCATTCCTATTCAAGTCCTATTAATCCTTAATTTTCAAACAAATCGCTGTTTGCTTGATATCGAATATTAATATAAAGCTCTAAAAACCTCTCAACTGATTTTTCACTTGAGCTCTTTCATGCTAATTTCACCTAGCTAATCAAGCTAAACTATATATTTATATTCAGGGAAAAAATTCCGTCCGAAATTAATGTTTTAAATTTCAAGCAAATCGGCGATGGCTTGAAATCAAATATTTCAATAGTTAAGAATGTGTTTTGAATGATTTCTTCCATAAATTAAATTATACATAGGGTATTAATTGTTTTTAGCCAAAACATATGGCATTAAGTTTAATTAGCTTCTGACCATGCAATATTTAGACTTGTTTGTTCCAAGTTCCCACACTTCGATGTCCCAACCTTATTACAAATAAACACTTTTTCATGTTTCTGTTTTTTTTTAAAGCCTATCATTAAGTACAACTATTACAGTTCTAGATTCCTGGTTGAAAGTAAAGGGCTTTTGTTTGAAGACATTCAAAAGGAAACTTTTTCTTCTTCTACAATATGTCTCTGAATTAAGAAGAATAATTAAGGAGAGTTGTGAAAAACGCTAATGCAGATGGCATGAAATATGAGTCATGGGAACCCTACCTCGACGACAACAAAAAAGACAAATCAAATTGTTCATGTCACTTAACTGATCAACTACGGAGTTGAACTATCACATTTCCACTTCTCGTTTTCCATCACTCATCAACTCTCTCTTGTTTTTATTATAAGTTTCAAATAACTAACTCATAAATAATGAATAATTAGTTAAAATTAGTTAAACAATAAATAAGCTAGGAATATACTTTTGAAATATACCTTTATAATAAATGAGAAAAAGGATAAAAAAGAATGTGTGAAAAAATAGGATTTATACATTCAGTATCTCGAAATATTTTTTTGGGTCTATCCAACACCCTGAAGTATTTTGTTATGCATTCAGCATCTTAAAATATTTTTTTAAGTGCATCCAATACCATAAAATATCTTTTGATGTATCCAGCATCTCAAAGTATTTTTTTTAGGTGTGTTTAGGACTCAAAAAATATTTTTGAGTGTATTTAGCACCAAAGCAAAAAAAAATATTACAGGGTATTGGGCGCCTCTAAAAAATATTTTGGGGTGCTGGATGCACTACAAAATACTTTAGGGCACTGAATATACTAGAAAAAATACTTTAGTGTGCTGAATGCATCTTAATCCCAAAAAATATGATAAAAGAGAGTATGACAAAGGAAAGAGAATAAATAATTAAGACCAACATTAAAAAATTACATTAAATATTAAGATAAACTCAAATTAAAGCTTATAAAATCGACTACAACCCTATCCAAATTTGAAGTTTATATACAGGAGAGCAAAGGGAGTATTTCACTTCATGCTCTCTTCATTTTTTTTTGGAAGAGCCAAATTTCATCAATCACATCACAAACAGATTCTACAGAGGAGGCCGGCAAGCTCCAAGTCTTATTCACACACACATCTACTCCTACTAAATCCATATATTCACAACCTATTCCGACGCCCTCCCTCATACTAACAACTTCAACATGCCGTCGACACACACATCATTTGATACATTTGCAGCATTTCGAAACTGATCCAAGGACATTATCCCAGAACATTAGAAGCAACCCTACCCACAAAAGAATCGGGAATATCAAATACGAATTGGATCCATGTCATTTTATTTATTTTTGAAATTTGAATGCTCCGCGGCTACCCAGTGAATGCGTCCCTAATATCATGGCTTAACTTCAGGGTGGTGCAAGAGTACGTATTGCAGAGACCTGTGTTGGCACTGCTGTAAGGGAACAAGGCAACAGGGCGATTTTTTGGAAGCTTAGGGATGGCTATTTCCATGTTCAGAAACTCTACCACTTGCTCCATGCATGGCCTTCCTTTGTTCTCATTCAAAGTGCAAAGCAGTCCAACTTCCAAGACACGAATTGCTTGCTCCATATTTATCAGTGATCCCATTCTTCTATCCACCACCTTCACTTTCTCGTCAATCTCGTGCAAATTCCAAGCATAATCCAGCAAGTCTTTGGCTTCTGGTTTTACATTCTCTTCCTCTACCCTGCGCCTTCCCGCTATCACTTCCAGCACAAATATACCAAATTCAAACACATCAACACCTCGACACACAGTGGACTCGAATTGCCTTGATTCTGATTCTAATAGTACAAACCCAAAGTCACCCAAGATTGCTCTGTAGTTCACATCAAGAAACACACTGCTACATTTCAAGTTCTTGTGGGCTAGTTGCTTAGAGTGGAGGAAGCTCAAGCCATCAGCCACGTCTTTTATGATTTTGAATCGACGAGTCCATGGAAGAACATTGCCGTCGAATAGCCACTTGTCAAGGCTGCCATTTGGGAAGAAATCATAGACCACCATGGTTTCTTGCCTGTCTGGGCACCAACCTCTTATGGGAATCAAATTGGGGTGGCGAAACTGGCTGATAGATTTGATTTCCTTCAACAACCGTCTCTTATGATCTGACCCATATGAGCTCAGAAACTGAGATGAGAATCTTTTCACAGCAACTCTTATGCCGTTAGGAAGCTTCCCGCAGTAGTACACACCCCTAGAATCACTACCCAATACCTCTATTTCATTGAAGGATCGAGTGGCAGAGGAAATCTCAGAGAAGGAAAAGCGGCGAGGCTTATTTGGGGGTCTTGGAACGATTGATTTTTCAGGATTTCTTTTGCGTATACTAATGAAGTAGAAACCGAGAACAACAGCAAGAGCCAAAGCCACTACACCTGTAAAGATTAAAAAGCTGCGAGAAGGTTCAAATTTAGATGAACCATTAGTACTCGGAGTTGCAGAGGAACTCCGAAGTAAGATGTTACCCTCGCAGGTATTAGACGAGGGAAAGCGAAGAGAAGCTTGAGAAGTGGAGGTGAAGTTCCAGGAAAGTATGTTGTGGATTTGGGTGTGGTTTCCTGTGGAAGCAGAGAATCCCACGAACATATACTCATTCAGAAAAGGTGAGAGATCCACAGATTCTGAGAAGATTGGCTTAGAAGGGTAATCTTCTTGGTTTGCTGATCCTAAACGAATGTCCATTCTTTTCCCGGGACCATCATAGGTAATCCAAGCACGGTGAACGAAACCATCCTTAAAGTTCACTCCAACATCAGAAACGTTGATGGTTTTAGAGGATTTTATGGTACCTAGATTGATGCCAATATGGTTGTCGTTTGGATCTCCGAAATCTGGGTTCATTCTGGTGTCGAATTCAATCGCCACTGCTTTGTAATTATCTTGGCAAGCATCGTTAAGCATGGCAAGCCATGGCCCTGGCCTTCCTACGGTGAACTCGTCAGGGACGATGATGAAAGTGAAGCCACTACCACCGTAAGAATCATCTTGTTCTGCGCTGCTGTAATTGATGAACTGAAAAGAGAAAGTGGATTGGAAAGAAGCCGGGGTTTGGGTTTCTGGGTCTAGCATCCGAATCGGGAAGGAATAAATGCCTCTTCCTGCTCGATGTCTGATATCTGAGGAGTCATCAGGAATTTGAAGAGCACCCTTTTCTTCTGAGAATTTGGCACTGCCTAGAAGCTTCACATCATGAAGAATTCTGGAGTTATTGCTTGCGCTGAAATCGGGGAAGTGGAATTGTTTGGTTACGTTAATGGCGGATGAAAAAGCAATAACTTGGTGTTCTCCAATCGAAGCTAGAAGAGTAAATACGCAGAACAAGAAGATGAAATAGAAGGAAGCCATAACAAGTGAAATGAAGATGGCAGCTCCAATGATTCAGCAGGACTTCAATCATGAATTTGCAGGTAGGTATAGCAAGACGCTTTGTGCGTTAGTGGTTACTGATTATTGATACTAGGGAGAAAGTTAAAATGCAGAAGCTGACAAGACACTGAATTTGACACAGCAAAAAAGGAATAAAAGACAATTGGACGTCTCTGAGAGAGGATGCTTGAAAGGAGCAATAACAGGGAAAAACATTAGGCGAATGAGAATATAGTCTGGGAATAAACTGATTAATGGACATGGATCTGGAGAAAAATCCATTTTAATTTTAGATGATGATGATGAATATGATAAAACAGGTGAATTATTCAGGGAGATATGTACGTACATAGGAATATGAGGCCAGAATTTGATTATAGAGACTTGATTGGACCATAATTATTTAAGTTATTTTGGTGGTAGGCTATCGCTCAAAATCAATCCTACCTCCTGACAAAGAAAAAAGGAATCAATCCTACCATGTTCAGTGATCCAAATGAATACGACAGGAAACCAATCCGTACGTCTCTCTTATAAATGTGGGACACGTGCTATGTGGATCCTTTCGTATTGCATGATTCCATCGGCAAAACCAATCACATCATTTGTTTCACCACGTTCTGCTTTGAATATTGGATTAACTTCAAATAATGGATGTTGGTGCAAAGGAAAGGTCACGGGCGTCTAACCCATGACCTCTTAAAGTTTTTATTTTACTGAGTTACACGAATTAATTTTATTTTTGGAAGTGATATATGGTTTGAATTTTAGTTAATTTAATTTTACTTCAGTTATGAAGTAAGCGACTCTGGCTCTTTCCAAAAGGCAGATTTTTTATTCATTCCCCTGTGACCATTTTTCATTTATCAAACTTCAGAAAATCCATCGGCATAATACACATTTATATTTAGCATTTAGAAGGTTTAATGGACTTTTTTTTTTTTGGTTACAAGAGGACTAAAATAAAATGCTCTCATAATAAAAAATTTAAAACCCAATGGGCAATTATCCAAATTTCAAAAAACATTTTATAAAGAAGAAGTTTGAGTTGTAGTTTTCTTCCCCTAATACTAAAAGTTGTGAAATAAAAGGATACGAAATTACCTACCCTTCTCCCTGGCACTTATTTTTTTTATATTTACTGTTTTCCTTCTTTTCCTTTTGGGCTGTAGTGTGAGAGTGTAAGTGGCCGTGCTTGGCTTGACAACGAGGAGTCGGAACAAGAAAGAAACAATTCGACCACGGAACCAATCATAGAGTTATATACATGAACAACGTAACTACGGACAACCTTGATTTGATAATTGAAGAACAGAATCGTTTTCAAACTCCACAAATATCAGAGTAGGGCAGCCCAAAGTTCTTATTAAGCAGATAATGAGTATTGGACAAATTGAAGCAGATAATGAAGCTTCGGCCAAGCCTTTCAAAATCTGTGGTGATCAAGCTTGGGAAAATTAAAAGCTACTGTATATAGTACTTCTTCCGGTTTTTAATATAAAAATTAATTAACTAATTTAAATAGATTAAGAAAACTAGTCAAGTTAGTTATTTGTGGTGCTGTATTTCTTAAAATATCATTACTAATCAAATATATTAGTTAGAACTGCCATTATTACAAGGACTGCTTTAAAAAAAGATAGATATATATAAGAGACAAAATGAATTAGGGAGTTATATTTATGACCAAAATAAAAGCTAAACAAACTCTTATATTAAAGATTGGATGTAATATATGCTCCTATATTCTGGTGAATAAATTTCTCCAATGAAAGCTTGATTTTTTAAAAATAAAAAATAAAATATATCATACAACTGTGTTAACATTCAATGAAAACGTTCCTGCTAAGTTTTGTTTGGCAAGACATCCCATGCTCATTACAAAAATGGCCATAGAGTGCTCATTTTAATTTAGACCATCCAATTTAAATGGTCTAGATTTAATTTAAACTGTTCTATGTTTTAAATAATTTTTTATTTTAATAGATATAAAATTTAAAATAAAGGCAATCTTATAATTAACACTGTTTTTAAAAAATTATTATTGAAAAATTTGCAAATTAAAAATCTTAAATATACGCAGCTCGTATTATATCTCAAATGGTCTGGATTTTATCATAATGATAAGTGCACGGTACTTGTCACTATGATAAACACTAAATAAGGATTCATTTTGTTCTTGTTCAGGAAGATGATTAACCAATGAACGGAATAACATCATTAATCTGTTAATCAATAACTTCCTTCGGCAACTGGCTGGCGTTTTATTCTTTTGGGCAGCCAGTTTGTGTTGTCCGAAAACTTGATTCTACTTTTATCCATCAGGTGTATACATTGCACATTTGAACCGCCTAACTAATTAATTATTGAATCCTATTTTGGCTTGTTGCTTAATTTTGATTTCTGTGAAAAACGGTAAATTTTGATATTTTGCCCCAACTGAGTTCAAAATTTTTATTTTTCGACAAGTTGATTTTTATTTTAAAACATGTGTTATTCGAAAGGGTATTTGGATTACAGAGTCTGAGGGAGAAGTTTTGTTTCAAATTGCATAAAATATTTTTTTAAATGAGTTTAGAGGTTCCTAAACACCCCCTAAAAGAAAAATTATTCTGATAACAGCTTCCGGTAAATTAGTGCAATCTTTATATAGTTTTCGTTCAATCTCTAATTAATCTTGTAATTTTTATACTTTTTATGCACTTTCTCTATAATCGATTAAATAACTTATAAATGTTTACAAAAAATTTAAATTATAAATTTAAATGATTTATATAATGTCCCAAACTCACATAATTTATATTATATGATGAACAAATATGCATTTAAAATATTTTCTATCCATTCAAAAGAAATCTAAATAAATGGGTTTTAATATGTCATGAAGAATTAAAATTATATAATTTTATAATGTAATCCAAAATTTATAAATTTCATAACATATTAAGAAGGTTGAAAACATAAATTTATAATTTATATTATTTTTTGTTTTATCAAAAATTATTTTTTTTACATATATAAATGTTTAAATAATTTTTATGTTAAGGAGAAATATTTTGGTCAAAATAAAAGTTTAAAAGTCATATTTAACAGTCAACTAACGGTTAGATGAATGAAAATATAATCTCAAATATATAAGTAGAGATGGTAAAACAGGCTGGCCTGTAACCAGGGGCTCAAGACCATGCGCCTCTTGGCAGGCTCACATTCTGCCAGCCCAAAGGGGTGGGCTGGCGCTCGTCAACCTCTATCCTTTTTAAAAATTTTTTTATATATATTTAAAGTTTTTAAATTAAATTATGAATTTTTATAGACTAAATTCTTCTTATTCTGATATTTTCATATAAGTATATAATTAAATTAATTTCAAAATTTGAGATATAAACATATAATTCATTGTTAATAGTTATTTTATTAATATAAAAAATGGTAAAACAATAAAGAAAATGAGAAATCAAATTTAGAATCAAAGTTTCTAACAAAATACATAGTTATATGTAAATTAAGTGAAAATAATAAAACTTTTTCTTATTAAAATTAAAATAAAATTGTAAAAAAAATTTAAAAAATAAAAAACGGGCTGGTGGGCTAGCTCGTGGTGGGCTGCGACGCTTGCAGGATGGTGGGTGCGGCCTAAAGAGGATTGCATCAAAATGGTTCTTATTTTCTTGAATCCAACCCACCACCCTATGATGGGTTGGACCCAACTCATACTACCGATTCTATTATAAAGAAAATTTATGTATCATATATTTTGATTTCAAATGAGGTTTATATATATTTTAAAAATAGAGATAAGGTTTTTGTAATTTAGGTAAAACAGAGTAATCAATGTATTTTACTCACTTGGTTATCAAATTCTTATATGGAGTATAAAAATTTTGTAAACCCCGATTCAATTAGAACAAGTCGGTTCGATCTGGGTCTAGCAATCAATCAGTACCTTCAACGTCATTAATTATATGTTATTAATGATTATCTCCTTATTTCCTTCGTTTAAATGTCACAATGTGTATTTCCCATTTAATGCAGTTAATTACGTGTTTTAATGCCATTAATTACATGTTGTTAATGATTATTTACTCATTTCCATTCTCTTCATCTCTTTCTGCTCTCCCTCACATGGAGACTGGATGAGCAACTAGGAGCAGTGCAACACCAACCATGGTGAATGAATGAAGAAGAACTCGAACATAGGCAACAATCAAGGACTCGCGAATATTGTATTCCTAATTAAGAAGCAGTGGTCAGCAACGACGATTGGTGCAAACAAGGCAGATTAATGGTAGATATTTGTTTTTCGTTTTACTTAGGTGTGACTTGTTCTCTCCTTTTCTTCCTCTTCTTTACAAACAGAAATTGTTGAGTGTCATCTGATTTAATCAATTATCTCATAAATGCATGTAGAGATTTGCTGCATTACTGTTTAGATGCTTTAGCACATTATTTCTGAAAAATATTATTTAAAAATATAATATTGAATGGAAATATGACTTACTTTTTGTGTGTTGGCGGTGGGTAACATGCTTTGTTTTTTCAGGCAAATCGGAGTCATATTTCATTCATTTTTGGAATTTTGTTTGTTTGTTTAGACAGGCATGCTTATTGGGAATTATTTTTCATCTATTCTAAGTGAATCATCCATTAAAATATGTGGCGTGATATGATTCTGTAATTTTTTTAAAAAAATATTTATCCATGTTTTTATACAGTCTATCATAAATATACAATCTGTTCTAAGTAAATTTACAAATGCTATTACAATTGTAACTTTAATCAAATCTACCACCTCATGGGAGAGAAGATTCTAGTTGTTCATGAAGTTTAGTTTATTCCGGTTCACGTATAAAATATTTTGGCAGGTGCGGGGATACACGTATCAATATGATATTCTAAAACAAACAAATTTGAATTTATAACATTATTCTAATCCAAAAGGCTTATGATAAACTCGACCGCTTCAAAATAACTCACAAAATCTCACCTAGCTTTTTCCCCAAGTAAACCATCTATCACTTTAATTAACCTTTTTTCTCCTAATAATAACCTATTAGCAAATTAGTCTTGTGAGTAACGGGTGATTTAATTTAGGGCCATATCTAAAACTTTTGGAGCCCCGGCCCCTGGGCAAAATTTTTAGAGGCTTGATTTGGGGAAAATGATCTAATAAATCTAATAATGTATATAACCTAATACATCGATTGTCATATAATTTATTTAAGTGAAATTATTTATCAAAATTTTATTTTCAAATTATTCTAACATTTCACTTTTAATAAATAATATGTATAATTCATTTGATTTGTTCTGTAACATAGTTTATATCGGATAGTGTTTAAGTAATTTTAATTAAAAAAAACTTATTTACGAAACAGCAACTACCATATCAATAATATTTAATAAACATTTTTAACGTGATATTTAATAAAAAAATTGAAATATATATACATATATAAAGACCAACAATATCGAAATGTTTGATCTAATATTATTATTATCATATTCATCAAAATATCGTCTAATATATATTGTGACTCCTTATTTTATATATCCTATATACACATATGTATATAAGGGGTATAAATAAATAAGATATCTCTTTTGGTCTTTGGAGGCCAAATTGGCCTATATGTGTGCCTTGCCAAAGAGCCGTACGATTTAATTTCATCATCTTTCTTAAATTGGAGGCCATACTTATCGATATCTTTTGTTTTTTTCCTGCCAACATAATTATCGATCTCATATGTGCAGGGTAAAAGTAAAACAACTTAGTGAAGAATTTCAAGAGAGATAGCTAGATAACGACCGATACTCCCTAATATAGAAGATTGGGCTCTTTTCTAGAATACCATTACCTATACTCCCTCACGAAATCTCCTTCCCTTTATCCACACATTCCTTGCTTATAACCTCTCTTATTACACTTTTCTGGGACAAGCCGAAGATCGAGACCGACTCTTGAATCCGTTTTTACTCCTTTTGCTTTACACTGAGATCAATACGCGTATAATACATATATATATATATATTTATGGAGAGAGGAAGGCAATAAGTGACATAGAGATCGTAGTAATTGATCAGAGAGGTATTCATGGGAGGTGTGAAAGAATGGTTCAAGTCGTCGACATCGCAGGCCGTAATAAGCATGTTATTGGTGCAAGTTTTCGCGACAGGGATGCAGTTGCTGTCGAGGTTGATTCTGGTCGAGGGCACCTTTGTTTTCTCACTCATTGCTTATCGTCATGTCGTTGCTACCCTCTGTGTTGCCCCTTTTGCTTTCTATTTCGAGAGGTGTGTGTATATATATATGCTTCGTTTTCCATCTCTCCATTTGTATTCTTTTTTAGTATACATTTTTTTAGTAGAATATATGTAATGGTTGGCCTCTTTTGTGTTTGTTGTTGCAGAGGACATGCTAAGAATTTGAATTGGTCGGTCTGGTTCTGGGTCTTCCTCAATGCATTAGTCGGGTAAGCAAACACCCGTTAACGTAGTTACTTGTTTTGTGAACCTTAAATTTATGAATATACTAAGTTTGCTCACATTCTATGAGGACTTTGGGTTATAAATCTGTTAACATGGAACATTTTTCATGAACCATCCTCCATGTCTGCATCCTTTGATCCTTTCTTCTTTCACTTTTACTTTCGTTAGGCTTAATAGATTTACTGAATGAGGCATCCTTAGTTAGGTTTAGGATTAAGCTTAGGATATCCATCCACTGCAAGTACTGCATCTCTTGGCATGATTTGTAGCTCCCGCTTCAACAAATTCGGATCTTGACGAATAACAGCAGCATGGTGTTTGAATTCTTATGGTTTACGGGTTGAGATTGAATTTAGCTAAGAATGTGTGTGTGTGTGTGTGTGTGTGTAAAGATATGCCAAAACCAAAGAATTATAACAGTTTCGAACACTATGCTTTATGTTATTTTTATATTAAGTAAAACAATACCGAAAAGTAGAGAGAATTTCTAGATCTTGCACATTTATTTTCAAATTATTCTAACATTTCACTTTTAATAAATAATCTGTATAATTCATTTGATTTGTTCGGTAACATATATAGTTTATATCGGATAGTGTTTAAGTAATTTTACTTATTTGTATCACAATACGTGTACTGTTAACAAATCCATTTTCTAATTAGAAAATGCTGACATTTCTCAGGATAATAATGGCAATGGGCTTCTTCTATTATGGTCTACGAGACACTTCAGCAACTTATTCAGTCAATTTTCTTAACTTGGTTCCCATATTTACCTTCCTAGTTTCTATCATATTCAGGTATCTGAGTATACATATTTAGATATCACCTTGATGAAAAGCTCTACTCTATCACAATTACTATATAATAAGTATTGATTTACAAATGATTGTAGAATGGAGAAATTAGGATTGAAGACATGGGCCGGTAAAGCCAAGGCCATTGGGACAATTATATGTGTTGGAGGAGCATTAACCACTAGCCTTTACACTGGAAAGGAATTTTATATTGGTCATCATAGTCATCACTCCCCTCACACTGCTTCAGCAAAAGCACCCAAGACTCACATGCTTCGAGGCACATTTTTTCTAGTTGCAAGCTGCTGCTCATATACAGGATGGTTTATTGTCCAAGTAAGTTTCCTACCTCAAGCTCTTGGCATACATGGTCTCTCCTTAGAAGAGAAAGAAGCTGCATTACTATGATAATTAACCTTCCTTCTCAAAGAATTTTAACAGGTGAAGTTGCTAAAAGCTCTTCCATTGAAGTTTTGGGCAACAATGCTAACCTGTATCACGGCTACAATTCAAGCTGTTTTGGTAGGGCTATGCATCGACCATAGCAAAGCTTCTTGGTCTTTAGGTTGGAATATGGAACTGATCACTATAGTATACTCAGTAAGATTTTTGAACTTAAATAAATCAAGATTATTAATTTTCTAAGATATCCCTATTTTTCTGGTTTATCTTTTACAAATAACTATGAATTATTAATAAATGGGATTTCTTTGTACAGGGGGCCCTCGCTACAGCTGCTACATTCTGCTTAATATCTTGGATCGTTACATTGAAGGGGCCTGCTTATCCTTCAATGTTCAATCCACTAGCTCTTATCTTTGTAGCCTTTTCAGAAGCTCTTTTACTGGGTGAACCACTCAAAGTTGGAACGTATGAACATTGTTACTTCTTAGATTTCCCTTTTCTTATAACACTAGCTATCTCAGTGTTAGTATTATTGGGTCCACAAGTCTGATAAAAATAAGATCTCTTTGCAGCTTGGTGGGCATGGTTTTTATCATAACCGGCTTGTACTGCTTCCTGTGGGGTAAAACAAAGGAGACACGCAACATGGCCCAACCAAATGAAGCAGCTATTGGAGTTTCCACACTCACACCTTCTGATTCTGCTAGTTTTCAATCAACAGCCAGAGTAATTCCAAGTGCTTCGCCAAACAATATGGTTATCGACATAGAAAATAGTGATACAGTAGAAAAAACCCCGAACCTTAATTAAACCTAAAGAGAAGTGATCAGGGCAACTAGACATGGTTAGTATTAGCATTAATATTTTCTCAGCTAGTTGATGTATCTTCTTTTCAAAGAAGAAGAAATAGAGGGGAAATAGGAAAATGTGTGGAAATATCTGATGATCATTCCAAGAACTATGCTTTTGCGAAGTAAATGTGGATCCTGATTATATAACGGACTCGGAAATGCTCCTTCAATACTATATAGAAGCTCTTGAATTGAGGGCAGCATAACAATAAACCAGCTCCCCCATTTCATCCCAGTCAGGAACTTCCACTTTGAGAATCGTCTCAAGAATTGATTCTCTTATATCAGTGAAAGGGTTCTCAGAATACCTTACGAGTGACACATAAACTATCTGCAAAATCTCTATGGATATCATTGGGGGGGCTGGTAGAAAAGCTCATTCCGTCCTTCCATCTTCTTGAAATTCTTTCTTTCTGCCTCTTAATCATCTTACTCTTCTCTGTAATTTCCATGGCGGCTGATGAAAACAAGTCCAGTTTTGGCGAAGAAAACTGAAACTTTGAGTTCTTATAGATATACACAAAGACGCGCAACAGGAGCCTACCATGAGTATTGAATGCCTTAGGAATATCAAATGTTGAAGCCATTTAATTCCACAATTGAATGTCAATGAAATCCCTGTGACTACTTTTATTGGGAATGAATATAATAAATTTGAATCCACGAAATTACTAGATTTTGAAAGTTTGTAGGTTCTTTTTGATAACAAAAGTTTTGAGATATTTAATTCTTAATTCTTTGTATGGATTATTAATCGTGATCATGTGTAGCTAAAAGTTTGTAAGTTCTAATGGAAATACCTGGGCGTTGGCAAAGAGACGACCAAACAAAAGATATAATAAAAATATACTCTTATTTTTCATATTAATTTGACGTTCAATGTGATACTCTTTCTCCCTCTTCTTTTCAATTGATTGATGTGATTACAAGTAGTTGAAGAAAGTAGCGTCTTAGTTCTGACGCTCTATCTGATATGTAAATTATAAAATAATGATGTTACATTAATTTAAAAATGTACATTGTACTATATAAAGCTATTTTGCAATTTTGATATGAATCTATATTTTCATTTTAACTCTAATTGCTTTTTTAAATATAAACTTGTTCGAAAAGTATGTTTTTTATAACTCCAGTGCAATGTATGTATTTTTTTTGTTTAATATCTATTCTGTTTTTGTAATCTTTACATATGTATATATATTTTGCATTCTGTTCGTGACTTTTGTGCAATCTACGTACAATTTTTGGGCAACCTTTATGTAGTTATTCTGTAAATGCATGATGATGATGATGCTAATTTAAATATAATTGATAATTTTAAATAGAGAGGTAAATATATTATTAATAAATTAATTTCATGAAATATAGAAATGAAACACATTTTATTTATTCTGATTTAATAGTTAACTCTATAGATTTTCATCAATTAAATCATATTATGATCATAATATTTTCACATAACCTTTATGTAGTTATATAACTAACGCATTCCATTAAACAAAGATACACAAAACTATATACTGTCCATTTATTTTATGCAAAATGGTGAATTAAAAGAATTTTTTTCACATAACCCGGTCAATGATAACAATATTGGGATGATCTATCTGATTTCTTTATATTGACGATTTCAAATGCAATGCTCTCTCTCTCTCTCTCTCTCTATATATATATATATATCTTTTATTTTGAAAAGTGGGGTTGTTGAAATATACTACCTCCGGTCCTTATTATAAGATCCTGTTTGACTTTTTATTTGGTCCTAATTATAAGACCCCAATCCATTTTGTCTCTCATATTTATACATTTTTTTCCAAGATAATCCTTCTAATAATGATAGTTATAGCCAATATACTTAATTAGCAAGGATATTTTAGGAATGACAATACTTATTTATTACAAATAACTAACTTAACTTACTTCCTTAATCTCTTCAAATAAGTCAACTGGGTCTTATAATTAGGACCGGAGGTAGTATCTATTAGTTATATCCTGGATTATCAAAATTGATTCTCAAAACGATTTAAAATGCAATGCTATATGCATATATCTTTTATTCTGAAAAATGGGGTTGTTGAAAGATATCTACTAGTTATATCCTGGATTATCAAAAGTGATTCTCAAATAAACCATTCAGTACTCAACTTTTTCCCGAACAAACCAAGTAGCAACTTAATTAATAGCAAATTAACCTAACTGCGCTCCAAACAAACAAGTTGAGTGACGGCTGATTTAATTGGGAGAGCTAACTCTCTTATAGAAAGATTAGCCGCACAAAATCCCCCTCCTTGCTTCACACTACTCTTTTACATTTTTGAAGTAATGGAATGGTTCATGTCGTTGACGTCGCAAGCTGTGATGAGTATGATATTTGTGCAGGTTATCGCAACAGGGACGCAGTTATTGTCCAGAGGGATCCTGGTTGGTGGCACTTCCATTTTCTCACTCATTACTTATCGTTATATCGTTGCTACCTTCTGTGTTGCCCCTTTTGCTTTCTGCTTTGAGAGGTATATGCTTTTTCTGTATTCTCTCATCTTTCTGCATTATTCTTTTTCAATACACAGTTTTGCTGTCTTTCTTTTCTTTTCTTGTTCTAAATTTTGTGTTACAGAGGCCGCACAAAGAAGTTGGATTGGTGGGTCTGGTTCTGGGTTTTCCTCAATGCATTAATTGGGTAAGTCAGCAAGTATTTAGTCACTCATCTTTGTTTATCAGTAGTTCCTCTCATCATCCTGCTTTTTCTATATCTTGATCCATCCTTCGCTGTCACTTTTTTCAACCTACCCAGTAACATATTAAGAGGACATTACACTTCATGATAGATTTGTCAAATGGGGCATCATAATTAGGATTAGGATTATGATAGACCCACCAACTACATCTTTCGGTATGATTCACTCTCTTACTTATAGGACTCATGACTTACTGGTTGTTGACATTGAATTAAGCTACAAAAGATTAGAGATATTTGCTAAAACAAAATAGTAAAAGTTGAATAAAAAACAACACTGAAAGTAGACAGAACTTCTACCTCTGTGCAACATATAGATGAAGAGAAAAAGGGATACACACACATATATATAGGCCACCCAAATTCCTTTTCTTTTTCTCTCTACTTAGTTTTAGTTTCTATTTCGAGAGAATACATGCTGATGTATATTCACAATATTCATTCAATCGACCGGCACATCGACCCAATCAGGAGAGCCATGTTTCTTCCTTTTTTATGTTCTGCATGAGAATATTACCACCCCCCTTCATCTCATATCTAATTCAAACGAGTTTAAAAAAGAAAAAAAACGTAAGGCAAGTAATCTGGTCTTAATGAATGGAAGAATGCATTAGTTATCTACATACTTTGTATTATTAACAAATATAACCTTTCTAACTACAAAATGCTGCCATTTTCAGGATAATAATTGCAATGTTCTTTTATTATGGTCTATGAGACACTTCAGCTACTTACTCGGTCAATTTTCTCAACTTGGTTCCGGTATTTACTTTCCTAGTCTCCATCATATTCAGGTATCTAATTAAGCATCTTCATGCACACAAATTGCTAGAGAGCGACTTTCATGATATATACAGCAGATCTGCTATATCACGTACGATTACTATATAATAAGCATTTATCTACAAATGATTGTAGGACGGAGAAACTAGTATTGAAAACATGGGCGGGTAAAGCCAAGGCAATAGGCACAATTATTTGCGTTGGAGGAGCATTAACCACTAGCCTTTACACAGGAAAGATTTTTTATATCGGTCGCCATAGTCATCATTCCTCTCCTACAGAACCACCCAAAACTCACATGCTTCGGGGCACAATCTTCCTAATTGCTAGTTGCTTCTCATATACAGGATGGTTTATGATCCAAGTAAAGTTTTCTTCTTGTTCTCGCAATATATAGTAGTGTCTCTATTTAGAATTGAAATAATTAATTTCCATTACCGTGATAGTCTTCCTTCTTAAACTGTTGTAGTTTTGAAATCTAACAGGTGAAGTTGCTAAAAGCTCTCCCATTGAAGTTTTGGGCAACGATGTTAACATGTATCGTGGCCTCAATTCAAGCTGCAATAATAGGAATATGCATAGACACTAGGAAAGCTTCGTGGTCTCTAAGCTGGAATATGGAGCTCATCACTATAGTATAGTCGGTGAGATTTTTGAACTTAAATGAACTAAGATTTACAAGTTTTTGAGATATCTTTGTTTTTCTGGCTCGTCTTTTGTAAATCGTTATGAATTAATGCATGGGATTTCTATGTATGTATAGGGAGCTCTTGCTACAGCTGCTACATTCTGCTTACCATCTTGGGTCGTTTCATTGAAGGGGCCTACTTATCCTCCAATGTTCAATCCATTGGCTTTTATCTTTGTTGCCTTTTCAGAAGCTATTTTATTGGACGAACCACTGAAAGTTGGAACGTATGAACATTATTATTTTCCAGATTTGTCCTTTCTTAATTAATATTATTTTTGATATTACTATCTCAATGTTAGTATTGGGTTTCACAAATCTAATAAAATAAGATCTCTTTACAGGTTGGTGGGCATGGTTTTGATCATAGTTGGTGTTTACTGCTTCTTGTGCGGTAAAACGAAGGAGACTCGTAACATGACCCAACCAAATGAAGCGGCTATTGAAGTTTCAACACTCATGCCAGTTGACTCTACTAGTTTGCAATCAACAATCAGAGTGATTTCCAGTTCTTCACCCAACAATGTAGTTGCCGATAATAGGACCAATAATATGGGATCCCGTAGGTTCAACCCGCCAACTGGTGGATTGATTGCAGACTCAATTGGGCAAAATGCCAGCCCATCAAAGTGCGAGGTATTTCAACCCGCACTGCCTAGTCCATGGATTACAATTGACTAGCTTACTTTTTTTTAAAAAAAAAAAATCTCTAAGTGTATATTTTTAAAATTTTAATATGTTGCTACCATGATTACTTTGTTTCCTAATATCAATTGCGGACACAGCATACTGCTTCTCTATGGAAATACCTTTTTTTTTTTTTAAATAAAGAAACAAGCAGGTTAGCTTGCTGAACAGGTTTGAATTGATGTGATGCCAACCCGTTAGAGTACAAGCTATTTCAACTTGTACTATCTATTTCGCAGATTGTGACGACACCATATTTTGGGCTCTAATCAATATAGAAAATATGGTTACAAGAAGTAGAAGTCCTAAACCTTAGACCTAAATCAAAGAGTGGCCTGGGCAGCCCGGCACGATTATTAATATTAATATGTTTTATAAGTATGTAAGTATATAGCAAGCCAAAATTGTTTAGGTATGTGTATGTAATTAAAATACACACAAAAAGCAACCGTCATGCAAAGATTTTATATGTCACAATTGGATTTGCATTGGGTGCTCATCAGTTTTGATGAGCACCCAATGCTCATCAGATCTGGACCCTCCAGGTCTGATCTGGACGGTCCAGATTTATTTTTATTTTTACTTTTATTTTTTAAAAATAATTATTTTAATAGGTATAGGATAAAAAATAAAAATAATCTCTTAACTATCATTCTTTAAAAATATAACTTTTTCTATTTTAAAATAATTATTTAATAATATTAAATCTGGACCGTCCAGATTAGATCTGGACGGCCCAGATTGCTCATCACCTGATGAGTACCGAATGGGAACCCGTCACAATTATAATATAATAAGAATGGATTCATAAATGACTGTAGAGTGGAGAAACTTGGATTGAAAACATGGGCCGGTCAAGCCAAGGCTATTGGGACAATTATATGCATTGGAGGAGCATTAACCACTAGCCTTTATATAGGAAAGGAATTTAACATTGGTCGTCACAGTGTATCTGTGTATGCAGCATGGTTTATTGTCCAAGTAAGTTTTTTACTTCGATTCTGACAATAGACAGTCTTTTGGTGTAGAAATAGAAAAAATTTCGCATTATTGTGATAGCTAGCCTCCCATTTTAGATTGACGTGTTTATGAAATCTAACAGGCGAAGTTACTAAAAGCTCTTCCATTGAAGTTTTGGGCGACGATGTCAACATGCATCATGGTCGCAATTCAAGCCACAGTAATAGGGCTATGTATAGATAGTAATAAAGCTTCTTGTTCTTTAGTGTGGAATATGGAACTACTCACTATAACATACTCGGTAAAATCTTTGAACTTGAATGAATTAAAATTTTTAAGCTTATGGTATATCTACATTTTTTGTTAGTCTCATGGGAATCACTACAAATTAGCGTATGAGATTTCTTTGCATAGGGGGCACTTGCTTCAGCTGCTACATAATATATTGGGTTGTTACATTTAAAGGGCCTACTTATCTTCCAATGTTCAATCTCCTAGCTCTTGTTTTTGTAGCCTCTTTAGAAACTATTTTACCGGGTGAACCTCTCAAAGTTGGAACGTATGGAAATTTTTTACTTTTTAGATTGACTTCTCTTTAACTTTACTTCTTCACAAGTCTAATAAAATAAGATCTGTTTGCAGCTTGGGGGGCATAATTTTGATCATAGGTGGCCTGTACTGCTACGTGTGGGGTAAAACAAGGGAGACACAAAGCTTCACTCAATGAAATGTAGGAGTTGTTTAAGCTTCCACAATCGTGCCTGCTTAATTATTCCGCTGGTTTGCAATCAACAACGACAGTAGCTAGTTCCAAGTTCTTCAACGAACAATGCAGTTATCAACATATAAAAAATAGGAAAGACCACAAGTTTCAAACCTACATAAACTAAATAAAGAATGGCCTGGGCGGCCAGACATGATTACTAATATCAATATTCTATCAGCAAATGAATGTATTCATCTCTTTCAAAGAAGAAGAAACAGAGCGAAAAGAAGAAACTTATGCAGAGATAACTTATTATCATTACAATGTGAATGCGAAGGAGTTTGCTTTGGGAAATAAATTTTGGCCTTGATCGCAACAAAGACTCAGGAATGCTTGTTCAATAACTTGATGAAGCTCTGGTGAGTTGAGTGCAACATAACAGTAAACCAGCTCCTCCATTTCATCCCAACCACGAACTCCCACCTTGAGAAACATCTCAAGAATTGATTCTCTTATATCAGTGAAAGGGTTCTCAGAATACCTTACCACACAGAAACTATCTGCAAAATCACCACGCACATCATTGGGCAGCCTAGCAGAAAAGCTCATTCTGCCCTTCCATCCTCTTGAAACTCTCTCTTTTCCCTTCTCAGTCATCTTACTCTTCTCTGTAGTTTCCATGGCTGCTGTTGAAAACAAGTCTACGTTAAAAAAAAAGAAAAAAAAAAAAAACTGAAACTTTGCATCCTCATAGATGCACAAAGACGCGTAAGAGGAGCTTACGCTGAGAATTGAATGCTAGTGTTGCAGGAACATGAAGCCTTGGAGCCATTTTATGCAGCAATTGAATGTCAATGAAATGCCCGTGTCTGTTTTTATTGGGTATGAATAAATATAAATATAGATATAGATATAAATTCGAACACGCAATCCTAGACTTTGAAAGTTGGGCTCTATAATAGAAATGACTGAGCGTTAGCCAAAACAGAGAACCAAAAAAAGAAGAGCATTTTCGACGAAGACAAGAAAAAAGAGCAGAGAATCTGAGTTACAACTTTGTAACAATGAAAATATATGAATATGTCAGTATGACTGCTATAGAATGAACATCTTTTCTGTTTCCTACTGTTGTTATAAAATTATAATGGAAGTAGAATCAAAGACATTACAGTAATAGAACGTGACGCATCAACCACCTTTGCTCTTGTTTTTCGTATTGTTGGTGGGCGCACGACAATATCATATACTCGTTTTTTATATTAATTAATTGAGATTATTAAAATTTTTCTTCCCCTTTCCTTTTGATTCCCTCGTACAAAACATAGGGTTAGGATCGTTCCTACTATTAGCTGCTCACTACTCACAATGTGTTTGGCATATGTGATTTTGTTATGGTATAATTTTATTCTTGATATTTTTTTCTGCAATTTTAATTTCAATGCAATTCTACCCCTGTTAAAATTGCAAAAAAAAAAAGGGGGGGGTGAAATCGCACAATAAAAAGATTATGAGTAAAACTGCACTTAAAAACTAAAACCAAGATTAAAATTGCATCTTTGTCCTTTTTTTTTTGAAGAAAATTTATAATTAGTTGTTGTAGCGGGGAAGAATTGTTTTTTTATGACTAATGCGTTTTGTATAAAGTTCATATTAATTAACATTGGCGATCAATCTGGACTGCATGCGTGATATATATAATGCATGCGTTTAGTTTATTGATATGAATTAATTGATTGATTTTTTTTATTTTTGATATAAGATATTGATTGATTAATTAATATTAATACGTTTCATATATTTGATATTAATGAGAAAAAATCTAAAAAGAGTCAAGAATCACGCTTAGTATAATTATACATATGATTAATTTAATATTCGTGATTTCCGGAATCAAAGCCGTCATCGGTAGGCCGCAGCGGCAGACATTACGCTAATCGTCAACCTAATCTCTATCAATTTCCGCCAACTTAACAAATAAACTCCTCTGTGTCCATTTTCCATCGCAATTAGCCTCAATTTTTCAGTTAGTTTTTTTTGTTCCATTTAAAATATACCTTTAGAGTCTATTTGGTATAAGAAATAAGGAAAACGGAAGGAAGGATAGGAAAGAAAACAAGTTTTAATAAATTTGATTTAAAAAAATAAGAGAACTAGAGTTAAAACATTTGGCTGGGCTTTCATTCGTTTACCTTACGTCTTATTTTTATTTAAATTTTATAACCCAATTTTTTTAATTTTTCAAATCAAACTCATCAAAATTTTTCTTCCATTCTCCATCCTTTTAGTTCTCTTATACCAAGCACAGGGTTCATTAATTTTATGATATCCTTCTATTTGCATCTAAAACCATATGTATAATCCACTATGCTTTATTAATGGAAGCTCAAGCAGCATCATTATTATTAGATATTAGTTTAATCTTTCTTCTTTTTTTTTGGGGCCAAACTAGATATTAGCTCAATCTTGATGCTGAGAAAAACTAAAAGAAATAATTAAGATTTGATTTTGATTGAATAATTTATAATGGTTTGGTTTAACTTAGATACAAGCACAAACAGATCACTGGTAGTATAGACTTTCGATTATTATTTTCAATAAAATTTCAGTTTTTTAGATAGTAAAATAATAACTTAAAATTGGCAAGGGCCAGATTGAAATCTGGAATAACATTATAAGCGGGTATGTAGTGATCTGACCAGATATTTGTTTATATTACATTAACAAAATATTTCTCATATCGGAACAAAACTCAAAATACATAAAAACAGAGGAGGGGAAAAAAAAACTTCATCTTGTGGTCAAGGTGGCAAATTGGTGGTTAAAAAATCCTTTTTTTAAAAAAAACTAAAAATAGTTCGAAGCGTGGGAAAAAATTGAAACTTTTAGAATTTATATTAGCATTTAAAATGCGGGAGTCAAATGGCATTGGCGGATTATTCGCATGTTAAATTCTTGACGTATTCCTTCTTCCTCTTGCAAATAGGAAATAATCGTTCGAACGATACTAACCAGACAACGTGAAAGGACGAGGATAGTCGTTGCTATTCTGGGCTTGCGTCTCTCTGGGTTCTCTATTACCAAACGACTCCTAGTCGTTGCGTCTCTCTGATTTTAATTTCTCTCTGCTTCGTCTGGAGTTCTGTACCCCAGAGGGTCGCCTTCGGTTGTCCCATTCCATTATTGTAATGACCCCGGAGAGTCTAACAATCACTATCTGATACACATTCATACTTTTTTTCTTGTAAAGAAAGAGAAAAGGGACCATTTTTATTATCTAACCCTTCGTTTAGTTCCCTTTCTCCCCTGTTGGGTTGGTGGCTTTGTGAGAGATTGAGGACTCGGTGGGTTTGGACTCAGAGTCTGAAGATGGGAAGGATTTCAAGGATTGCGAGTTTTGCAATTCCTTCTATGAAGGAGAAGCAACAACCTCTCATTACGTGCACGACCTTCAACATTCTCGCTCCCATATATAAGCGCCTCGACCAGGAGGTCTTCTTCTATACCTGCATTGATGATTGATTTCCTCAAGTGGATTATTTCGATTTCAATGTTTTTTATTTACTTTTTCTTTTCCTTATTTGTAGGACGCGAGTTGCCGCGAAAGCGACTACAGACCGTTTTGGTTGGACAGGAATGACAGGATATTGGATTGGCTGTTGCACGAGAGGTCTTCCATTATCTGTCTTCAGGTTTGAATGACTATGAACACTGTGATCTCCTTCTCTTGCACTTTTGTTTGTGCTTTTATTTTTTCGATGAAATTGATAGGAATGACCCACAAGATTCCTTATGGGGCTAGTGGTTTGATGCTAATGTGTTTTTTCTCATGAGGATTGTCCACAGTTTGATGCCAACCTATCTGAATTTTCGCAGGAATTTTGGGTTGGAAACCCAGAGCTTGTTAATTTGTATGAGAAGAGACTCGGTGATGCAGGTTATATTAATTTCAACCTTGGACGGACTAACAACCGTGGGGATGGTACGCATTTATTCTCTTAATTTGAAATACTTCCCCTTTAGATTCTCTGTTTTGTCAATATTTCAAATTCATTATCTTTATCAAGGATAAAAACCTCAACCACTGTCTGCGGAAGTTAATTTGGTTGTCAATCTAAGCTGCATACGATATTACCATTGCTTCTGAAAACGTGGATGGGCATGGTGTCATGGGCAAAATTTGGAAAACGTTTATGAACGGAATAAACGTAATCAAAATTGTTAAGACTTGAAGGGATAAAAGATGGTCAAAAGCATGTTCTACCTTTGCAATACTAGATGAAAATCCCTTAGATAGTTAAATGAGAGCCATATTCATATTTATTTTTCCATATGCGTGGTAGTTTTTTATCTCCCAAAGAATCTGAACTGTTTTTAAATTATTAAAATTACCTTATGGTGTTTCTGTTGGAGTCTGTAGGTCTCCTAATTGCGGTGCAAAAGGAACACTTTAAGATTCTCAATTACAAAGAATTGCACTTCAATGATTGTGGAGATCGTGTAGCTCAATTGTTACATGTCGAATTAGCATCTCCATTATCACAATCCCGAAATAGTGATACTGGGCAGGAAATTATTATTGTCAACACACACTTGCTATTTCCTCATGACTCAACTCTGTCCATAGTACGATTGCACCAGGTAATATCTCAACATTATGTTGACTTAGATACAGGCATGATAACTCTTTTGGACATATATTAATTCTCACTTTTTTACAGGCCTACAAGATACTTCAATATGTGGACTCCTATCAGAAAGAGTATCAACTGAAGCCTTTGCCAATCATGCTATGCGGGTAAACTTAAATGGATCTCCTTATGAGGGACTCATTTGCCTTTCTGAACTTACTTCATCCTTCAACTTTTGAATCGCTGTTAATGATTCTTTTTTCAACATTTTATTTTTCAGTGACTGGAATGGTAGCAAACGCGGGCATGTTTACCGGTTCCTAAGGTCTCATGGATTTGTATCGTCATATGATATTGCTCATCAATACACAGATGGAGATGCACACAAGGTGATATATCCAACACTGTTCAGAGAATTTTTCATGCTGAACCGTATTCTCATCACTTAATTTCTTTTTTGAACATTGTATGAATGCAGTGGATTAGTCACCGTAATCACCGAGGAGATATATGTGCTGTTGATTTTATATGGCTTCTAAATCCTGATAAATATCGGAAACTGCTGAAAGCAACTTGGAGTGATGCTGTGTTTGGCATGTTCAAGGTAGTCGCAATACCTCTGGACTCGTTATTCAATTTACTAATGTGACCATCCTGCAAACACTTTTAGCCTCTTTATATCAAGGATGTTTAAGCATATTTTACATTATTTTTCTTTAAGCATAGTTATGGTCCTTATGGATTTTATTTGCTGGTTGTGGAATAGAATTCTTCCACTGACAATGAAATGTCCATTTCAGTATCTATTGCGGAGAGCTTCTCTGAATGAGAGTAATGCATTTGCCTTCCTAAAGGGAGATAACGAAGATTGTATTACCTTTGCTGGTTTCTATGATGCACTTGAACAGGTATAGCGTATAACGAAAAGACCAGGACCCTAATTTTTCAGTTAGTAAATCCTTGTGTGTCCTTCCTAGAATATGACAACACCTCATTTTGACTAAGGTCTTCTGCTTCTTGTATGCAGCTTAATTTGATTGGTCCTCCTTGTGGACTTAGTGTTCAAGAGGCAAAGGACTTGTGGGTCCTAGTGGATGTGGATGGAAATGGTTTGCTGGATTTTAAAGAGTTTCAGGTAAAGCAGCTTACAACAAAGTTCAGCCACTTTTTGACTTCTATCTATTTTCACGGCAAATTAGTTTTTAGATTTAAGCAACCATAAGCAGAGCTCTAGGAATAAATGGATTAAAATCTCAATGAAAACGAAGTCATGTAACTATGGGAAATTACGCAAGGCATGTGAACAATGGAATTAAGTTTAATTCCACACCTAAAGCTACTGGAGTGGAGTTTAACATATAGGCTGCATGAGGAATGTTGATCTGCATGGGCAAATATGATAAAGATCTCTCATTTAATGAACCAAAATTATTCCGTATTGTTATGGTTAGACTATATAATGGACCAGAAACGGGCTGTTCAATATAGTAGACACGTATATAAACACTTTAGATTTCGTCTGAAACACCGTTGGCTAAATCATGTTCGTAATTTGTGGGGTTGTAGCAGCAAATCTGGATGCCGTCATGTTTAGATCAGATAGATGAGATAAAGAAAGAGGAGCTAAATGACGAATCAAATGGGAATCAGGAACAAGCCATTGGTTTCAGTATAAAGAATGCAACACTGTCCCCTCCTGAGGCAGAGAAAGGCATATGGCCTGAAGACTACTATCTATCTGATCATGCAAGACTAACAGTAGCATTCTCGCCAATAAGATTGCCATGTTCCCGGATGATTTATTGACACAAATGCTTGGGGTTGGGGACACTCATTCTAGGGTTTAACACATTTGTACATAATAGGACACAAGATGTGAATGGATGAAGAAAGTAGAAGCAACTAAACGAGACTCATGAGGAGGCTTCAAGCCAGAAGTTCAACCTTACAAGGCTGAGAAACAGAGCAGCACCAAGTGACAGAGTGGACAATGTGAAGTCACTTGAAATGTTATCCCATTCAACAGAGAAGAGGAGAATGATGTGTACAGTCTTTTTTTAGTTTGTAGTGATGAATTATTTTGTAGCTTGGGCTCTAGTGATTTTTGACTTTAGACACTGGAAAAATTTTCAAAATGTACAGAGCAAGGATTAATTTACTTTTTCCTCTTGAACCAAAACACAAAGGAAACTCTGAACAGAGGCGCCAAATCCCACTGTTCCCAACGCTAAACAGACACAAAGCTCGAGCTTTGCGTTGATCCATCTGTTATTCCGTATAAAAGGTGGATTCCCTTGAAGAGCGCCAAAATTATTAGTTTATATTCCTGTTTCCTTTTCCCTTGGAAAGTGCAAGAAGTTGGATGGAGAAAAAATCCATGGAAAAAAAAAATTTCTAAACTCAATTGAACAGTTGATGATGCCCCTTGACGCTTTGCCCTGTGTTGGCCTTTCTTGAGACTTAATTGTAATTCTCCCATATTTCTATCACTTCACTTGTTAAAGATAAGTTCTACTTACTGATGAGGTTGGATCTAGCCAAAAGAATTAATTTCTAATGAATCAAGGTTCGAATTCATATTAAAATAGATGTTCGCATTTAATACTTAACAGTGCCTTAAATAAAATTATCTTTAATAATAGAAAGATACCTATGCCTTAAAAAAAATGAATTACGCTTACGTAAATTCGTTTTTTAGCTAATAAATCTTTTAATCAGGTACTTTTAATCAATTTTATCATGTTTATCAAATAAACAATAACAGTATATGCAGATGTGGTAAGCCATAAAGGCATAAAGGAAAGAGATAATGAAGAGCAGAGTAATGGGGACAAACACGGCTGCATATCTTTTAGCTCTCAACTTTTTTCTTTATTTCTTTTTCTCACTTCACCTTTCTGGTTTTAGCACACAGCAAGGAAGGTGATCAGTAATCTTTGTTGTTTTTCCCCCTTTACTTTTCTTCCTCGTCATTTCATATTCTGTAGTCCACAAAACATCACAGGCTATTATAGTCAGAAACACGTCATAGATTTTTTTCAAGTGTGGTGATGGGGTCAAATTGTTTTTTTTTTTTGTGTCTATGCTCTTAGCTTCACAGTTAAGACTAGTGAGAACGAGTTTCAGACGTGTGTTGATATGATGTTATTGAAAATTGCTTATAGGTGCACGGAGTCTAGGTAATAATTTTGAGAACTGTGAATTAGGATCATCTTGTAATTTTGTACGTAACGAGTGATTAAATCTTTTAAAAGTATCATATGATGATGAAAAATTTAGGTGATGGTTTTTTGAGAAAGCATGGTTGGGGTGCTTTATTTAGCCTTTACAAAATTTATATCCTTTTGAATCTGTTGAAAGAATTAATAATTTTTTAAATGATTCATTTGTTGGTACGGTCTTGGCAAAATTACGATTCAAAGATGTTAAATTCCCTTTTGTTAAATTCGTTGGGCATTAAGAAGGAATATTAGTTGTTGGACAAACAAGAGTAAAGGATCACTTTGAGACAGTGGATGTTGTACATGTTAATTCCTGTGTTGCAATAATTGTTTTTTTTTTTTGTTATATTGAGGAGTCAAAAATATTGAAATTGCTTTAAGAAAGCTTCCAACGATCGAGTGGGGTTGCCTCCCCTGGATGATTATACAACCCAAATTCCTCTTGCTTTCAATCCACTTGGCTGACCAACCTAACCCATTAAAAAACGAAAACATTGTTTTAATTTTTTTTCTATTTTGAGAGTTTTTTTAAATTAGGAATTAGGATACATCGCTTTATCTTATCATTCGTTAAAGAAAAAGAAAGAAATAAAACAAGTGGACTATGACTAGCAAGACCTGACACATTAAATGCGTGAAACTTAGTGAGATGATTGAATGTCCGAAGCACACGCGCCATACCCGCTCAAGTTCCAAGGCGGATGTATCCCTTCAGTCGGAGGCCACGCCGCGAACTTCCAACCTCCCACTTTGCTTGTATTTGAATTCCTTCTCTACTCCTATTTTATTTGCAAGGTGTATAAAAAAAGGTTTTTAAAATTCTATTTATAAATCATTTTATTTAATTTTTAATATTAATATACCGTTTTGTTTTTTTATTTATTATGATATAAATAATTTTTTTTAAAAAGTATACATATTAAATAGAAATAAAAATATAAAGTTGTTATATTTTAATAAAAAGTTAACATAGTTAAAAAAAAATTTTTGTCTGTGTGAAACATACCTGAAGTGCCTTATAAACAGGATCAGAGAGTATGTAAGTTAATCCTCCATAACATGGTGAATCAATATTTGAGTTTTTATTAGAAAAAAGTATTCTCATTTAGTATTTGATAGTATTTTGAACATAATTGCTTGGATAACAATATGTAAAAAACAATATGTAAGGAAAATATTTTATTATACTCCTCTGGTCCTCTTTATAAAATAGAGAGAGAAGACATTTTTTGTCCTATTCATAGGGCACTGAGACAAATTTTTGTATGGATGTAAATTTTACCCTTCATTTACTATTATGTTGATTTTGTTTGCATAAGGTATAATGTGTATTAACTAAGAATAAAATTAGAAAGTTATTAAATTTTAAATGAGAGTTAATAAAATTTAAGATTTTTCTTGGTCTGTGTGAAACATGCTCGAAGTGACTTATAAATAAGACCAGAAGAGTATATATATACCCCATTTTGAAGAAATAAATACATAAATAACTATTATTGTTATATAATAATATTATGAGAGCCCTTTTGTGTGATGCAATTTTTTTCCCTTCATATTAATTAAGTCCAAAAGAAACATAAAAGAATGTGAAACAATTATATGCAAAGGGTGCGCTTTATAGTTGTTTTTTTCCTCCCGCTTTTTATCTGTGCTAAATAACTAAATAAAACTAAGAGTATTAAAATTGAGAGAGAATCTTTCATAAAAAGCAGGGCGACGAAAGAGAGGCCCACTTGACATTGGATTCTTCTTGTTTTGGGGCATTTGGTTGCCATTAGGGTTTTTAATTCACCCATGATTCATCATCGATCTTGCTGAAACTGTTCAACTTTACTACTTCTTATTTTTTAAAAATACTAACATCCTTAAGAACTTTACTTATATTTGTAACCGCAATCCTCCTTCCTATAAAAAAAATGTTAATATTCCAGATAATAATGTTTCGCATTAACCATTCCACACGTACTAAATACTAATATATGCCAATTTAACCTCATTTATAAGTGACAAATTACTTCTCCTGAATTGATATTTATCTGCATAAACTATTGTCAACTCCGATTATTTAACTAAAATTACACAAAAAAATCTCATATGGCTATTATTGTTAGGCTACGCATGGAAACGCTGAAAAGGACTGAAGCCGGAATAAGAGGTATTTTGTTTTATAAATTAATGGAGAGCAGAACGTTTTAGAGAAAGAACACAGCACGTGCTGTGCCCCCAAAAACAGAGAAGAGAAGGTCCTTTTCACTTTAAATTTTTTTAAGTTATCAAAATGATCCTAGTTAAAATACCAGGCATCGTCATGTTCAAAACAAAGATATTATCTGTGCATAAATAACCAAAAAGCCAACCCTACCAAAGATTCCATTCATACCATCAAAATCTCACTCCCTTTAGTTCCTCACATAGGAACTGCACAACTAATTAATTTATAGATATTAAAAAATTAATTGAATTAATTATTGATAATATCTGTATACTAATTTTTTAAAGTATTATTTTAAATTATTTATATTGGAACTTGATAGAAATCTTTTGATACGTAGAATTATTAATAGTTGAGAGAGAAAAACTCATTTGTGGTAATAAGCTATGAGCGTGCGCGTAAAGCCGTAAAGAAGCTCATCGGCCCCCCAAAAAAAAGGTCATTTTGTGAGAAATTGAAGGGGGAAAAAAACTCAGGTTTTCTTGCTGATTACGTCTACATGAGGGGGGCCCACTGAAGCCAGGCGTCTTCGTATTATTGGTCAATCTCTCTGAGCACTTTTTTTGACTTTGTCGTTTTCCGCTCTTTTTTTTCCCCTGGACAAGAGTTTGTCGTCTTGTTGTTACTGTATTTCTCACTCTTGCTTACCAACCCAGAGTTGCGACTTGCGAGGGCTACGCTGAAACCCGTCTTACACTGGATTGGCATTGTCCGTGGTCTCAGCGGATCAGCGAGGTTAAATATGGTACACGCGCTTCCTTCTTTATCCGCAAGTAATCGAACCAGGCGTAACACTGACTGACTATTCTGTGGTTATGTTATAATAGTATCTGACTATGCTTGGTGGTTAGCTGTTCCCGGACGCGTTTCACTTTCTCTCTTTAAAACCGATTGTAAAAGGCGAGAAGGATAAAACCATATGGCCCATCGCACTCAAAAATACTCAGAATCATCTTGATTCTAAGCTCTCCTTCTAGGTCTTCCTTCTCTCTCTTTCTCTCTATATAATTGATCTTTGGGTTCTTCAAACACTCCCTTTTCTCTCTCTCTTTTTTAATTCGTTCGAAACTCCAGGTGATACTTCCCGATGGGTGTGGCTCCTAACTGTCATCCGCCGCCGCCGCCGCCGCCGCCGCCTGCGGATGAGACGGCGGTGTTACCTCTGAATTCGCTGCCTCTGGGTTTCAGATTTCGGCCCACCGACGAGGAGCTTGTTGATTATTACCTGAGACAGAAGATTAATGGTTATGGCGACGATGTCTGGGTTATTCGGGAAATCGATGTTTGCAAATGGGAGCCCTGGGATTTACCTGGTATGTGTTCCTTTTACTTTTCATCTTGAAATTGGGAAAGTTGCAAGGCTTTGCTTTTCTTGTTTTGCGATGTACACTATTCGTTCTTCTGCTCTTTTCAATTTTACATGTGTCTATTGAAGAAATTACGGGTCTTAAGAATCGAAGACGATGGATTAGTTTCCCATTTCTCTATCACTGAGAACGGCTTCGAAATATCTCTCTATCCAATTTTCTTCTATGTTATCTTATGGAACAAGCAGTATACAAGATTGCAGTATTAGTGTCGGATTAGTGTGATAGAACTTCTGCTCAAGTAGCTAGCTTGCGTGCTTCGTATGCCATTTTATGTGCTAATTTGCTTTTTTCTGGTTTCGATTGATTTGGCTTGCCAATAGACTTATCAGTGATACGGAACAAGGATCCAGAGTGGTTCTTCTTCTGTCCCCAGGACCGCAAGTATCCGAATGGCCATAGATTGAACCGAGCAACAAATCACGGGTACTGGAAGGCAACTGGCAAGGATCGCAGAATTAAGTCTGGGTCCAACTTGATAGGAATGAAGAAGACTTTAGTCTTCTATAGTGGTCGTGCTCCCAGGGGGAAGAGGACCCATTGGGTTATGCATGAGTACCGTCCCACTATTAAGGAGCTTGACGGTACCAATCCTGGGCAGGTAAAGCCCTTTCTCATGTTTATTCTATTTAAATTTTTGACTCTCTTCATGTCTTGTTTTGTGGATGTGACATTGAATTGTTGCAAACGTGCAATATTGCATCCAATATCTTCTGGAAATAACTATCCTTCAGTTGAATTCTGAATGTCCTCTGTGATCTTCGCTTTCAATTCTTTTCCAGTCTAAGAAAGTCTTTGTACTGTGCTCTTACATTTTGATTACCTTAGTGTGCTAATGGAACTTTTGACTGACTATATTTTTGGGTAGATGATGATGTATCACTAAATTTTGATTTCATGGTTTTGGCTTGTGCCAGAATGCCTATGTGCTCTGTCGCTTGTTTAAGAAACAAGATGAGAGTCTTGAAGCTGATGAAACAGAACGGACTGCGTCAACTCCTACTGTTGCTAATTACTCTCCAGAAGAAATACAGTCTGATGCTGCTATGGCTATGGTATCCCCGTCGCCAGCTCCAGAAGATGATAAGCGGCAGATAGCTGCATTCTGTGTTTCCGAGAACACTGAAGAAACCACATCTAACGTAATAACATCAGCTGATTGCCATAGTGATGGAGGTGATGCTAACGACGCACAAACCCAAAATGCGGATAAAACAGCTTTAGAGGTCAGATAGACTAATTGAGTTTCTATCGGTCTTATTTTGTCTTTCTTGTTCACTTATCCTTTGGTTTGGTTTGTGCGTTTTGAAATTGTTTATCTAGAACTTGTAGTTGTTGCTTCTTTCTTCAGGAGGATCCACTGGTGAACCTTGATATATTTAAGGAACCAATAACTAGGCCATTTGATGACAAGATGTTCTCCCCAATACATGTGCATATGCCGTCAGAATTTTATGATCCAGTGTGCAATGACTCAGATGGTCAATTTGGGCTGCAACTTCCATATGGTACAAATGAGACAAATATTTCAGACTTCTTCGACTCATACATCAATTGTGGTGACTTGTCCTGTGAAGACTATATCAGTCAAAAGCCAACCTCTGGCATTCTAAATCCTTGTGACAATGGATCTGGGAATGGCTCAGATGTGAAAATGGCCGATATGCTGGTAAATAACCTATTCTAGCACTATACATGTTTGTTATTTTGGATTTCTCTGCCAAATGGACGTGTTGGTTTTCGAATTTGAGGTGGTAGCTTTACTTTTTCAATACATAATGGTTCCCCCTAATTGGCTGCCAGATTGACACACAAGTTTGCGACCTGTGTAATCTAGTTATGTTTGACAGAGTTATTAGTATTAATAATTTCATCCCTTTAATAATGCTATTATCTTATTGTCTTCTGCAGTATTGGCAAGCTCTGCATACTGCGCATCCTCAGGAGGAAATTGACAAGAGGGTTCCTTCCATGATAGATGCAGCTTCAGACTTTAACAGACCCATTACCTCTGAGCTCAGTGGTTATGAGCAGAAGGGCAATATGAGGATATACGACAGCTATCCTCCGATGGCTTTGGCATCTGATGCTGCTTTTGACCCAGTCTATGGCGTATTAAATAGCTGTCAAGAACCAAGAAACTACAATACAGTTGGCGGTGATAATGGTGCTGGGATCAGGATTAGGGCTCGCCAAGTGCGAAGTGAACAGGTAAACATGAACCCTATGAACCAAGGACAGGGTACTGCTCCAAGGAGGATACGTCTACATATATCTACACCTACCTCTAATGAAGTCGAGAAAGACGGGAGATGTGCGCAAGAAAACCATTATTCAAAACCAATTATCACATGGGTAAGATGTTTATATGGTAGTACTTGTACATCTAACAGAGGACTATTTTGCGCATCTTGTGAGATTTGTGGGATTGCTCTTTTGCAGGAGACCGGAGCCTTAGAAAATAATGCTGCTGAAGAGGATGCTACTCATACTGGGAGTGAACCCCTGACTCCCGAGTCAGTTGACAGTAACAAGGTTTCTCCCCTGTTTGTTACAAATGAAGATTCCCTCTCAGGATTGAAAGAGAGCTTGTTGTGCAAATCAGTTCGGGGCACATCAAAGGCTTTTTCTCGTGCCAGAGTCTGGGCATCTACGTTGGTAGTCTCTGTCAGTTTAATGGCCGCAGTAGTATTTATAGCTAACAGATGGGGAGTTCTTGACTTTTGAGCTGCTAGACAATTTGCCCCGTTGCAATTTTTAATTTTTGTGGGGTGGATAGCAAGGCCCGTTGAAGAGAGACATGTAGGTTGGCTGTTTTAGTTTGGATGTTTATATAAATACTCGTCTTTGTGCATATGTAGGCTGTTCCTTTGTATGCAGCCGTTCTGTAGCTTCAGTTATGTTAACTTGTGCATCCTCCCCTCGCAACTTTTTTTGTGGCCTTCCTGAGCCTTGTAGCTATCGCTGTTCTTGCCTGACTAGTGCCCAAAAGCTTCCCGCAGAATTACACTATTCCACTGTTTAAAGTAATTTACGTAGAATACTGAACATTCAAGTTGGAAAGCATATTAATTTAGACAAATTACTAATACTGGCGAACCCAGTAAACAGCAGTGCCGATAACAAGCAAGATATTCAAAACAAGAACTTGGTATATGTCGCCATTAGACCACATCTCGAACTCCAACAACAGCCCATTTTATAGATAGGTAGCTACGTCTTTTTGCAACGGTTTGACACAAACTGATAATTACAAACCTATTAAGTACACTGAAACAGACATAAGCAAAGAAACACAGGAGAAAAAGAAAAGACATACAAAAATCAGTCCATTACTCCGCAGCGTTCCACCATAATCTTCATCGAACTTGGACCTCATGGCCGATTTCCCTCACCGAGAAGTTGATCAGTACTTGTAGTCCTTCACATGGAGGCTCTCCGAGGCACCTTCACCAAGCTTTGCATCACCCTTGTAGGTTCCCAGTGTTGCCTCTGAATTCGCCTTGCACCTTGTCAGGAAGGCTTCTTGAGCTTTCTTCACGTTTTCCTCCTTTCCAGCCCATGCCTTGAGCGTGCTCGACTGAAGAGCCCTTCCAAAAGAGAATGAAAGAGACCACGGCTTCTTCCCCTTTAACTTGTTCATGGCATTGAGGTTGAGAGTTGCCTCCTCCTCACTCTGCCCGCCAGACAAGAAAACCACAGCTGGAACAGCCGCAGGTACAGTACGCAGCAGAGCTCTGACAGTGTGCTCAGCAATAACCTCAGGCGAAACTTTTGGAGCTTCTGATCCAGGGGTCACCATGTTTGGTTTCAGAAGTGTTCCTTCAAGCATCACATGGTGATCATTTAAAGCCTTATAGCATGCAGCAAGCACACGTTCAGTCACTGCAGCACACTTATTAATGTTATGAGGTCCATCCACAAGGATCTCAGGCTCAACAATAGGAACCAATCCATTCTCCTGGCATATGGCAGCATATCTTGCCAACCCATAGGCATTTTCATGGACAGCTAGCTCAGATGGCTCATTCGGGCCAATTTTAAGCACAGCCCTCCACTTGGCAAACCGTGCGCCAGCTTCATAATATTTCTGGCAACGCTGACCAAGGCCATCTAGACCCTGAGTGGTGGTTTCTCCATTAGTTCCAGCAAGCTCAACAGTGCCTTTGTCAACCTTGATGCCAGGAAGGACGCCACCTTCCTTCAACACCTCCACAAAGGGCTTGCCTAAAGAAATCCATTAATAATGTCAATGCAAGCACAATGCAAGTATAGACAACAATTTACATCCAAAGCATACCAATAAAGAACCACATCAATAAAAGGAAAACTATACACCCAAATATGTAAAACTCTGAAGTGCATATGCATAGCGAATAAATCATCTTGATCATATAACAAAGTAAGATACAAGCTATCAAAGCTGTTGACAATACCTGCAGCTGTCTTCTGGTATAGGGTTTCCTCAAAGAGGATCACTCCACTTAGACACTGGAGGGCTCCAGGAGTCGTGAAGAGGAGCTCACGAAGAGCACGCCTATTTGATTCAACATTCTCCACATTGATACTGGCTAGACGCTTGCCAATTGTTCCTGTTGACTCATCAGCAGCAAGAATACCCTTTCCAGGAGTGCCAATGTAAGCAGCATTGGCAATGAGCTCATCTGCAAATCACAGATTGGCATGAGACTTGAAATTTTCGCTAAGGAGCACCCCCAAAAATAACTTTGATGTTACTTAAAGAAAACCAGAACTTCTAAAGAACAAACAAATGGAAAGAGGGGGGCGCTTCCTTGACCGATGACATGAAGCATGGTATGTCGGCAAAAAGCATTCGCGACCAGAAGCAAAATGCCCGCGGTAGTAGCTTTTTGATAAACTCAACTGACTTTCAAGTGAGGTCGTAAACCAAAGACGAAGTAGCACAAAGTATAAATTTAGAGAATTATAAACCATGACAGCATACTAAGACGCACCGTCAACCGCAAATATCTAATAATGCTTCCACTAAGAACTGCTTACAAACAAGAGTTATTTCATCCTTTAACCGAGGTGGACAAATTGTTAACGGATGAGGTACACATTAAAAACGGAGGGAAACACCAAATAAACCAACAAGGTCACGGAATAAACCACGGCCAGATAGCGCTGCCAGCATAGCTTATCATATAAACACAGAGAAGCCATACGAAATCAAACAACCCAATTCAAAGTCCCATGACGAATAACTTTTTTGGAAAGCAAGAAAGATAAAGGTGCGAGAAACACTGATTGATGCCATGCAAAACAGATACTTTATAACCAAACATAACCTTCCTAGTAGATAATTATTATAACAGATAAAACGAGAGACGACCGAAGACCAACTTTGAACTTAAAAGTTTCAGGTTCGGGATCTGATCATCCATGCAAAAGGGATCAAACAAGAAACGGCGGTAAAAACTCAAAAATCATGTGCGAAAGCGGAAGAAATCACGAAATCACGACACATGAACACCAAAATAATTTAAACCAAAAACTCGTATAGTTATTGCTTCAATCCGATCACAATAAAAACGAATACATCCAAGTATGAGCAGCAAACACAAGTGCAAACGAAACACAGTAAGGCCAAAACTTCAATCAGCAGAAGGCATCAAGTAAAGGTACAGAGTAAACCCACCATGGAACTTGGACTTGAAGTGAGACATGATCGGAAGAATCGGGATTATGGATGTATCTGGAAGAGTAGGGAGAGTAGGATTTTTTCGAGGCACAGGGGTGATGAAATGGCAATTATAAAAGCATCGATAGTATCGGGACGCAGAATATATACCGTGGACTGCCGTTGGAAGCATGACGCTGAAGGAAAGGCGGTTTCGCCTCTCGAATTCGCCTTCCTGTGGGCCAAGCCTAATTGGCCCGTGAATCGAGTCCATATGCAATTATGCATTAACGCCCCATGCACACACAAGGAATGCGCGCTCGGCCCGAAAAAGGGAAATTAATGCGTCTTCCCAGAATTGGATTTTAATTAGTGGCTTGCCAAAATTGAAATGGCTTTTAGGAAGTTAATTGGATTTTCGATCTTAATTATAAAATCTTATTTGTAATCTACAGATAAAATTAGGATAGGAGGTAGTATTATTCTCTCTTATTATCAGATATTCTGAACTAATTTCAGGTGGCTAAAAATTGCTTGTTGATTAATGTTTTTATACGCACAATGAAATTAATTCACACTCTACAGTCTACATGGAATGTGGATCAAGTTATTACCAACTAAATTAATATTTTTTAATTGCTGGTTATGCTTTTTTTTATTTGTATGATCTTTAGCTTTTCCAAATCTTAATTTTAAACACAAATTAATTTCAGAAACTTCAGTGTAAAAGTATTTATAAATATTACAATTACGGAAAGATAAAAAAATTTCCACAAATTTATAAATTGGTGTTTAATTTATAGACTGCTGTAACTTGTAAACATTATCATATTTTATGGATATATACTACTCCAATTCTTTATATAAAAGCTAAATAACTAATTTTTTTATACTAATTAAATATCAAAGGTAGTATTACTCTTTAGATTCAAGTAACTTGTTTATGATTTTTATGAATCATATTACTTTTGATCCTAAATATAAAATTTAGTTTGTAGTACAATTTATATTACAATTTAAATCTTATATTTAGCAGTAGAGATAATATTATGTTACCTTCTCATTCATGAATATGAGTTATTAAGTGCAAGATTGAGAACTTTTTAATTTTAGGTAATCAAGATCATAACGTTGATATAGATACAGAGTAATCCATATATTACCTCCGGTCGGAGGTAGTATTAGTTTTGGATATAGATGAATCAGAATAAACAAAAAAGAATATACTCCAATTATTCTTTCTAAAATTCTAAATTACTCTTATCAAGTTTTTTTTTGGTATCATAGATGACTCTCTCTATTTATGAATAGAATTTTCTCGGCGGTGAAAAAAGAATAGAATTTTCTCTCAAATTGTCTCTCATATAAACTTCTAATTTGTTACATATAATAGGAAAACAAATGATTTTACTAAATCGTTAATATATACATGTTGGTCTACGTAACACAGAACGCAAATAAGTCAATTTATTCAATCAATGAGTCAAACACATAAATTATGCATATTTGTTGGTTTTGAAAGTAAAATATTACCACTAAGAGAAATATGGCTGAAATTCTGAAAGCTTTGATGAATTGATAGGGTCTTTGTTCAGTTAAAGTTTTTTCCTTTTTCTTTTTCATTTGGGGTTCAAAAAATGAAACGTGAATAGAAAGGCTTGTCCTGCCACCCTTAGTTCATATCATGATCCCTCAGAGTCTTCAATAATTTACATTTGTCTTGTTATAATGCCATGTATTGGTTTGTACCTATATAATAATGCCGAATGATTTACACCTTTTTCTCATTGATTTCTTCTTTTTCGGTTTAGATTCGCAATGCTTTTGGTCTTGAGATTTTGAAAGATCTCTTGTTTAAATTTCAATGGAAGCTTTCAGAATTAAAAAAAAAAGAGAAGTTTAAAGTAGCATACGATACCCTGATGTTATTTTCTGAGTGTATCTAGCATCCTAATATCATTTATTGTACACCCAGCATCCTGATATTCTTTTTCTTTTTGTGCATCTTTTTTTTTTTTTTAATACTTCTAATACCTTAATCTAATTTATAGTACATAAGATACACCTAAAAAATACGATCATGGTGCTAAATGCTATTTTACCCGATAAGAAGAAGAAGACAATCCAGGAAAGTACCAGCGTGGAGTGTGGACATCACATGGGGCTTTTCTTGTAAGTGAAGGATGATCAAAATACACACGCAGATCTATTATAAATATTTTATAACTTATATAATCAGTACAATTTATCTCAAACTCCATTGAACACAAAACCTACAGTCTAGTTTTGGTACTATAAATAGAATAGAATAGAAGGAAATGAAAAGGAATCATCGTCATGGATATGAATTATTCATCTGTTAATTCTCTGAAATCGAGTTTTCTTTAGCATAATCACGTCATGATTCAATGTACATATTCATAAATGGGCGGTTTAGTATGTGGTTATTTCACCAATCAAAGCTAAGCAAGCATCAAGATGTTTCTCAACCAGACTACAATACCCTTCATATCAGAATCTCTAGACCACCCTCTCCTTTTTTCAAAATTTAGACAACTGTCACCACATGATCAAAATCTGCTTTTCCTCTTTGAACAGAAGAAAAACCAACCACTTAAGGTCAACCTAAATGCTTCTTGGGCTGCAAATTAAATCCTTTTTGGCTACACTTCCCTTATAGCTTTTGCATGTGTTGGTTGGTACTACATCTTTATCTTTGGGATCTAGTGGTTGGGATCTGTCACCGAAATTTAACCATAATGTACAAAGGGGCCTTCTTTTAATGCTTTCCTGACTCATCTCCACGTGTTGCTACATTCACCTCGTAATAAAGTTGCAGCTCTTCCTCCAGTCAAAAAAAGCTTCTTTCGGGTAAGCTTTCTGAGATGTCTTTGATGTTAATGATTGAACTTGAAGGAGAAGGATAACAAACCAGATGTCACAAGATAACATAATTTGGTACTGTAATAGTGGTATTATTGACGGATTAGTCATTTGTTGCGGCAAACTTGTCATGAGACCCTTCACTCGTTTGTCTCAACTGATTTGACTTAGAAAAAGGATATGAGTGAAGAGATTAAGGTTTGTTATAGAACAATGAGTGACAACCCATGTGGAGACCAAGTTTCTTTAGTTTTTGCACGCAAAAACGAAAGGGACTTCTCGGATCCCACGTTTCAACCCATCCTCATCAGACTTCATGAAAATGAGAATTGCGTTGCTTAAGCTTTAACCTGCACAACGTAGATACTTCATCTGTAATCTCGTTTTGAGAAATCACAACATACATGTGATCTCATTCATGACATCTGGTTCCAAGAAAAGGATTAAACAGTTGAAAATTATAGAGAAGTACAATAGGAAAAAAAATAGTAGAAGATACCACACAAAATTTAACCTGAAAAAGCGCCAATGCTGAGAGATCAAAAAAACCCACAGGCAGAATCTCTCTTGCATATATGCAGGTTTTAAAAATAGATGATAGTATTGGGTAGTTAAGGTAGAACAAGACTTTTTAAAAAGCCATAATTTTTTCTGGGATGAAAGATGTGGCAATAGTTTATAATTATTGCAGTTATGTTGTTAGGAGGGAGAGATTCTCATGAATATCAGATTGATCAGTGACTTTGATTATAACAATAAAGTTAATTGTTTCCTTGGATTTCTGGGAGATCCTCACACCAAAGCTTATGTCATCCCTGTTAACTGCAGAATAAAACCTGATCCAACTTCCAATTCAAGAAGTAATAAATTCTGCAGAATTTTATATATGATAATACACTCAACCACAGGGGAGAGAATCTTAACGCTAACTATTACCTTAGGTGTTGCAATCTGATTTGCTTGAACATTCTAGTTGTAGCATTATTATAATCACTGATGTTTAGTAAAGTTAAAGGTTAGGTTAATAAATAAGAATATGACTCAAAAAAACAGAACAAGGTTGGTGTCCAGGTTGTCCTAGAATGTAGTGAGGCCCTACAGTTACAATAAGCCATGCATGTCTGCCAGAATGACACTTCACCACCTGTTCATGAAAAATCTACCAGTCGGTGGGTGATGGAAGTATTATCATTTTCAAAGATGCTTTTTAATTATTTTCTCTCTCTTACTCACCATAATCAACCCCTTTTCCCGTCTATAAAACTGCTCATCTTTCTCCACTGGTTTCTCCCTCCTCTCCTTCTCCCCCTCAACCTCGTGCCTTGAAGATCGAAAACAAATCCAAAAATAAATAATAAACTACAAGAGGTTCTTTGTACACTTAGTGGCACTGCATGTGCTGTGGAATCACTCAGTTATTGCCTTATATTCTAATCAACCACCGGCCATCTATTATACTCCTCCTTCCTTATATTATCACTGTCTTCTCCATGCCTGTCACCCCTCTCCATCTCGCGTCCCTTGAGACCTTTCCTTCCCAAATCTGAATTATAATTTCATAGTTACTAATAATGGGTGAGGAAGCTAAACAGGTGAGAATTCTTTATGATAATCATTCCCATTCTCTCTGGTTTCTGGGTTTTCAATGGTTAGCTGCATGTGCATTAGTTCTTATAATGCTAAATTTTCATTTGATTGAGTAGGAGCAACCCAAAGTGGAGGAGAAGAAACAAGAGAAGCAAGAAGAGAAAGCAGAAGAGAAGAAGGAAGAGAAGCAAGAGGAGAAAGTAGAAGAGAAGAAGGAAGAGCCTAAACCACCATCACCTTGCGTGCTGTTTGTGGACCTGCATTGTATGGGATGTGCCAAGAAAATTCAGAAGTCAGTTATGAAAATGAGAGGTTCACATCTTTCACCCACTTCTCTCTTACCTTTTCTTCCAGATGCCATGCATGCATGTGATTTTGCATTAATTTTATTAATTATTTTTTTTATCTTTAATAGGAGTTGAGGGAGTGGTCATTGATATGGCTAAAAATGAAGTGACCATAAAGGGAATAGTGGAGCCTCAAGCAATCTGCAACAGAATAACCAAGAAAATAAAGAGGAGAGCCAAAATCATATCTCCACTGCCTGAAGCAGAAGGAGAACCTATACCAGAGGTTGTAACTTCTCAGGTATAACCAACTTTAAGAATTTAAATTACGTTTTCTAGTTAAAGATGTTTACAATTTAGACAGTCTCTTATTTATTATTTACTTGTTTTGCTGTTCCAGGTTAGTGAACCAGTAACTTTGGAACTTAACGTGAACATGCACTGTGAGGCCTGTGCTGAGCAACTGAAGAAAAAGATACTCAAAATGAGAGGTACCGTTTTTATCTGTTTAACCTTCATTTTAATGTCATAACTCCACTCTTGATTGTGATTGATATCAGATGATGATAACTATAAAGAGAACAGTTGGACAGCTTCTTTCTTGAGGATTGAATTTGATTTGTGTATAAATGTTCGCTTCAGTTTTGTGATGGTGACAACCCAGCTTTCTGACCTAACAAGTAGATGTTATAAAATAGGCGAATACCATAAAGTATGAATTTGGGGCATGTTCATTTTGTTTTTTCACAACACTCCCCACTCAGATTGCCCAATCAGAAATCTGTCTGATGGTGAACCCTCTGACGTGGAATGCAATTTTTCAAATAGGTCGATAATGAAGAACCCCTGATCCATGCCTCCCTGAACTTGCACCGCAAACCTGATAAAGAACTATGTGGGGTAGTTCTTACAAAGTGTCAATATGGGATCCATTTTTAATAACTCTTGAAAGAGAAAAGGACCCAATAAATAAAAGTATAGTGGGATTCAACCACTCAGGCGAGTCTCACGTCTATTATATCTTTCCAACAAACCAAAGTTCTAGTTAGTCTAAACGTATTATTTTCATGAATAGGTTTGTCACATAAACTGATAATACTTTGTGCAGAATGATGATTCTGCTCCATAAATTCAAGGATGTGTTTATAATCGTGCACTAAAGTGTGCTCGTAAATATGCAGGAGTGCAGACGGCAGAGACAGAGCTGAGCACAGGGAAGGTGACAGTGACAGGGACGATGGATGCGAACAAGCTAGTGGATTATCTGTACAGGAGCACCAGAAAACAAGTAACAATAGTGCCACAAGCAAAACCAGAATCAGAACCAGAAAAGAATGAAGCAGAGGAGGTCAAACCTGAAGAGAAAAAAGAGGAGGAGACACCAGCAGAGGAAGGAAAGAAAGAGGAAGGCGATGGAAGTGGTGAAAACAAAAGTGAGAATAATGAAGAAGAAAAGGGTGGGGAAGAAGAAGGAGGAGGAGGAGGAGAACAGATAGAGATGATCAATATGGAAGATGAAAGGATGAAGAGGATGATGTACTATTACCAACCACTCTATGTAGTTGAACGAATCCCACCACCTCAGCTATTCAGTGATGAAAACCCAAATGCATGTTGCATCTCGTAAATTCTAAGAGGAGAGGAGTTAAAAAAAAAGGGGGGGGGCTTCAAACTTGATTGTAAGTACCAAGTTAGTAGTAAGTTCCACCAACGAGGGATTTTTATAGCTGGATTGGTGGAAATATGTATCAAAATGGAGTGACATATTCACAAGTTTATCAATAAATATATCCTTCCATGTGTTTGAGTATGGATATCTATATGTATAGGTATATGTCTACGTATATATGCAGCACTATAATGAAGCGCAAAAATTTAATGAAAGAAGTGTATGCATCCTCATTACTTGGACGGCGTGGATCATTCTTGTTTTCCTAAGTTTATCTAGCGACTTGTTAATTTCGTGGATTCTTTCTGCAGGGTTAAAAGTTCCATTTAGAGCTGTAAAGTATTTAGGTCTTTAGGACCTAATATCATCAGTTTTTGCTTTTTGTTTTTTTTGCTTTCTTTTTTTAAAATATATTCGCTTGAAAAAGTTCTGAAAAGCAAAAAGAGTAGGAATCATGGGTATATCCTTCAAGCTACGATTATTCAACAGCGCATGTGATTGCAGGTTTGAAAATGATTTCTTTTTTTCAAGGATATAAAAAATGTTTTTATTTTTTGGAGTCCAGAAACGAAAATGCTGTTTTAGGGAACCAAACTTCAAAACTAAATAGAAAAGTTATTGTTTTTGCTCCCAACTCAGGTTGGCTTACTCAGGACAATACCTTTTGTGTGCCTTTTCTTTTTTTTCAAACCGAAAAAAAAATCCAGAACACAATGAAAAGTTTAATACAATGCATTCCCTCTAATTAGGTCAACCAAAAGAACTTTCTGACGCAGCTTTGCATTCATCCATGTCACTACCCACTCAAAAAACAAACACTTCAATTACCTTTATCACAAGCACTATGTATCTTTAAAGGCCCATCAATTAACTAACTGAACAAAACATGTTCTTTTGTTTTGGTGTTATTGGGTTGGCTGGGCTTCTTTAAAGAAAAAGAATATTGCATATCATGAGCGAGCCCATTTCATGAACAAAGACCTCATATAAGGCCTGGCCACATCCATAACATCCACTTCAAAACAGAGAAGTGAAGAAGAAAAAGAACAAAGAAGGAAGAAGTGGTAAGCAATGGACAAGGGTTTGCAAACCAGCGGAGCCCAAGAAAATGGAGCCAGCTTTCACGGACACTGTAGATGCACAGTTATTGAGATGACAGATGACGAGTTCGCCTACTCCTATGGACACCAAAAGAAACCAGAAAGTGAAAATGCCTTATCTGTCATCACAGTTATCAACTAGTCATTTCAAGGGGATGAATAAAACAAGCTGATATTTGATTGTCAGCAATTATAGGCGTCCACAAGTTATAATTTTGGCCACTCCTTTCTCACTATATGCCCAATCTTGAAGCAGCCGGTTTATGACTTGCAATCTTATCAGATCAGAATTATGCAGAAAAATAAAGACTTGATATTCTTCACCAAATCTACCGCGAAACCAAACCAAACCCAACCTAACCTTTGACTCTGGCTAACACAATCACTTTCATCGACACCACAATGCGCATGGTTCATGAACAGCGTTTCTTCCCAAAAAAGGCCAAGAAAAGCAGGGGAGGTTAACTGTGAATTTCGCTTTCCTTTTTAACTGTCGGCACAACCTTCTACACTGAGCTAATGCACAAAACATGGAGCTTTTATGCTCATATTTCTCGTTCAAGACAAGCAGTGAGGGTTTCAAGCAACATTCTGTTCAACCGCCTCAAGAGAGATCTAATCTAATATCCATCCCTTTTAGACAATTTATTGCTATAGGCCCCTAGCAACTTCACCCCAAAACAGAGTCTTGTTTATTCTCAGACAAGTCATGAAATTACACATGATCCGGTCTTGTGTTGTGTCCCTACCAACCCAGAAAAGTTAGTTGAAGATGGCCATTTAATGTTCAGTTCTGCCGTATCACATGTGGTGATCAGAATTCAAGAAACAAGACTTGGCATTTTTCCAAAAAGCAGTGATCCAAATTAAAGTCTCGCCACATAAAGCCAAAGCATGCTTCTACCAAACTTACCTTCTAAACTTTCATCTTTATCTACCCCATTATTGGGGAAAAACCCAAATGGGTTTCAGTTTTTGAATTTCCTTGAAGTTCAACCTTGCGCGCAATCAAGGCATCCAAGAATAGTTGGCCGGAGAAACAGCCCTCGTGGCATACAATAATAATTAAATAACATGTGAAACCAGGAATTCAGTGACTAACCACCCTTTGATTTGGTCATTATGATGATTTTATTTTGTGGTTATTGGCTTGTTGCTGTAATAATCGAGTAAAAATCGGACGCCCATAATCCCATTCACCGCTCCTGCCAGAAAGTGCCAGAGTTCAAAACCTTTTTGCCCACCTCACTCGTGCTTTATATGTTTGGCCTTCGTCTCCCTTTTTTCTCACGTTACATAACTATCAGATTCAGACCCAGATACCCACACAGCCTTCGGTTCTTCTCTGAGGGCCACGAAGCCAGAAAGATGATCATGGTGGCGGTCATGACGGAGATTTTGGGAGAATACACGGCGGCTCTGACAAGGGTCACGGAGCGTCTCCTTCCTCGGCGTCGCTTACGCTTTCGTGGTCTCAGCAATCTTCGCCTTTCGTCCAGAACCTCGTCGTCTCACGCAGACTCTTTTCTGGTTTACTTCTAGGTAGCTATCAAATTAGATACTGGGTTTCCAATTGTTCTATAGAATTGTCAACGGGGGTTCGATTTCTTCTCGTTTTAGTAATATTTATTGCTTCATCTGATTTTGCGTGAAGTGATGAACGTAGGAGAAGTTTCACTTGTGAATTGCAAGGCATGTAGTAATCTTCTTGCATTTGATGTGAATTTAAAGCCGACTTCTCAGAAAATGTTGTTATCCCCTGAAGCTTTGTTTTTCAAACATTCCTGCATTTTCATTAGAATCAGAGCTAGAAAAGTTAAGTTCAACAAGAGCACCTCAACCCAGAATTTTTACAGAAAGTTACAGTAATTTTGGACTGCAACTTAAGCATCGATTCTAGCGGCCAGCCGTCCATCGCGCATAATTACTCTTTTCAGCTACCTTCTTGCGAACCTCCGATGAAGGTCGAAACAGAGTGGTGATTTAAATAAAAGAACAATGAAACTTTTAATCCCTCACGTCTGGCCCAGTTAGCCCCCAAACTTCAAAGGATTAGATTGATAAAAGATAAAACTTGAAGAACCAACTCAACGCAAACGTGATTTTTCCCTAAACAAATAAAGTTTCATTCTATATAATGTTGTGGATGGACATGAACCACAAATATATGTGTATGTATTATTTTTTCTTTATGGTCTTCTGCAATTTTGGTTAGGTTTCTGCTCTGATGAGCAGTGTGTATATATATATATATATATTTTTTTTATATAACCTGACAATACAATGGATCTGAATGCGGTGAATGCGTACGTATGAACTTGTAGCCAATGATGATTCTAATAAAAATAATAATGATGAGGATGATGATAAAGAATGAATGATGAGATTGTTGAAACAACAATGCAAAGCACTGTACATTTATCACCATTTCAGCTTTCCATTGGACCCTGTTTCTTGGTCACATGCCACAGCCCTGTACAATATCTTACAACTCGACAAGGCATTCCCTCTCTGTGGTCCATGCATTTTATTTAAGCATAATTACTCTGAGTTCTAAAAAAATTATATACTTCACAATATGAATCTTTTGTTATTTCTTGATGTTGTTTAGTATTGTGGGACTTTTTAGTAATTTTGTTTTTTTCCCCTTAAGATTTTATAATGATTCTCCCATTTATACATTCTGGTACAAAACTACGGATATTTTATGATAATTTACCCATATTATTTTTCCGTTGCTTCTAATCTTGGACAAAATAATGTTTATTTAAATTTTTAATATGCAACTGATAATTAAAAAGTTAGGTGCAACCATGCTGGAAAAGAGGGAAAAAAATCAATATGTAGAATGCAGAGGAAGTCAAGGACATAAAAAAACAGAGTTGAACACAAGACGGAATATGGATAAGTGGTCCATTAAACAATAAAAAAAATGTGTAGAGGAAGTATGCACTTGTCCCTGAGGGGAAAATATGAAACATTATCATGTTACTGTTGGTTAGGTTGTTATTTTCAAGAGAAAGTCCTCTAATTAATTGGGCACCCTCCTTTCCCATGAAAAGATAGCCTCACTTCCACATTCGTCATCATTATATTGGGTCTGCTTGGAACAACTTAGAAGTAGTTTATAAATAATTTTTTAATAGTAATTTACGGAATACGAAATAAATATGTGAGAAGAGTTTTGTCTCAACTTGCATGAAATGAGTTTATGGGGAATTTCTACCGCTTTGCCAAACGGAGTCATTATATATCTTCACAAATTTATTGTCATTTCAAAGATGCTCATTAATAATTAATAATTATAAATAAATAATTAGTAAGCATATGTATACTAAATGTAAATCCTGACAATTTTTGTTTATATATATATATATTATATAGGACTACAGACTTTCTGAGGATTGAGCTGACCAATGCACTTGTGAAACCAAGTTAGCGGTGGGAAGGGCCTACTCCAGTGACAAAACAATGAAGAAGCAAATGGAAGTTTGATTATAATGCTTTTTATGGGGCCTGGGAATTCAGTATTGCTTGTGATTGCAGACTAGTTAACATGGATTTTACTCCCAAACCTTTATACCACCTCCTACAAAAGCTAATTTAATATTTAATTTAATTTTAAATATAAGATATCAATTTACTTTATTTTTTATATTTATTTTTTAAGATAGTTCTTATAACAGTTATATATGTTAAATATTTTATCGAATAGTAATTTTTACTAATACACATAATTAATAAGAATATTTTAAAAAAACATATATTCATTATAAATAACTAATTTAACTAATTTTTTTAATTTATTTAAATTAGTCAAGTAGTTATTATATTATTATTAAATATGAGAGGTAGTAATATAATGATCTCTATTGTCCGTCAGTTGTTAAATTTTTTTTTCCCCTTTTCAGACTGATTAAAAAGAGCTTCAGCCATATTAACACGAGAGAATAAATTCAAATGACCACATACATTTGACCAGAAAATGAATCGAAATTGTTCTGATGAATCACTGGGCTCTGCGGCTTGTTTGGATACGAGTGAGACCGTTGCGGTTTTTGCAGAAAGTATCCCCATTGGTGATGGTGCAATAATTGCACTGCAATTAGATCAAATCACAATAACATGATGACAGTTTATTAGAAAACTAATTATTGTTAATAGCAATTGGTTTGCAAGTTGCTAAAAAGCCAAGGAGACTCTTTTTTTTGGTGAATAAAGTCAAAGTCAAGAAGACTCTTACTGATAGGCTTTAAGTTTTTTTTTTTTTGAAAAAATTGCTGTGAGGTCTCAAAAAATAAGGATAATTATTAAAAAACATGATAATAATTGAACAACTGACTTGTCATTACAAAATAATACCTCCGGTTCTTAATATAAGATATTATTTGATTTTTATTTTGGTCTTAAATATAAGATCTCAATCCACTTTGTCTACCATATTTATACATTCTTTTTCGAAATAATCCTTCTAACAATAGTAATTCTAACCAATACACTTGATTAGCGAGAATATTTTAGGAAAGACAACACTTATTTATTACAAATAACTAACTTAACTTATTTTCTTAATCTCCTCGAATTAGTCAACCAGCTCTTATAATTAGGACCGAAGGTAGTACTAAGTTATTATAGGATTTTTTTGTGAATATATTTTTCCCTTAAGGTCTTATTGCAATTCTCACATTTATTCTTGGGGCTAGGATTCGGATAGAAAGAAAGAAACTAGTGATGTTTAATCTAGAACGAACTGAGTTAAGGTCACTGATAACATCTATGGGTCCTCCTGCTTAGGACTCTTGAAGCTTGTTCTTTGGTCTGGGTCAGGCGATGATCTATGTATACTCTAGCTTCCCAGCGTCTTTAATTAGTTTTGTGATTTTATTTAAAATAATTATGTTAGAAGTACTTTTGCTTTTCTTTATTTATTTTTTATATCTATATCTTTCTCCCTTTATTAATTTTTTTTAATTTTATTTTGTTAATACTATTACTCCTTGTATATAAATTAATAGCGGAGCAAAATTAAAGAATTTATTAATAAAGAAGGACAAGCACTGTGGAGTGTTACAAGCACCAAATCAAAAATTAAAAAGAAATTTATAACGGCAAAATAGTCTTCCTTTTTGTTTTATATTTTTCTCACTCTTGTTGCACCTGCCGTTCAGATTCCCCTACAAAACCTACAATTATTTTATTCATAATTGAAGTAATCTATAAATAATTAATATTTTATAGAAACTCTAAAACAACAATTATTTTAAAATAAAATTAAAAATTCAAAGCAGCAATTATTTTTTTGAAAAAACGCATTTTCATAAAAGTAAACCATGTGATCATTAGTACAGCATTGTTTAGTGTTTATTGATATAACTGTTGAAATTTATTGTTATCATATAGCTATAATAATATTCATATTTCATAATTCATAATATTTAACGAATTCGGTGGCCAAAATTCTAAAAAGGTAACACAACGTGGGCATATATGATTATCCAATAAAATGTAGAATAATTTATAATTATATGATGCTAATAATAATTCATAAAATTAAAATAATAATATCCCATATTTTCAACATGTCCAATATCTCCTGGATTTGTTTGTGGGAGGGAGGAAGAGCACCGTGTTTAACGTTAACAACAAAATTAGGATTATTCCATGTGGAATAATAGCACAAGGCCGTGAGGTTCTATCAACGTAAATTAAATCTAATGAAAATGGTTAATCCTCAATCCTCATAACACGGTAAAGGTTTAAATCCCTTTTAATTTAAAAAGAGTGCTAACATTTTAATACTGGACATGCCTCCATACAAAAAGTATTAATACTGAGTGGAATTTCATGTACAAAAACTACTAGTATTTGAATTAAACTCCTTCTGCTGAATAAACTTTATGAGTTACAGACGAAACTTTATTAACAGTATTAATTTTTATTGATATACTCCTCTAGTCTTTAACATATGACCTAATTTTTTAATCGGTTTTTGTCCTAAATATAAGACCAATTTCTCATATTTATCAATTTTCTCTAAATTACCCTTATGATACTCCCTCAACCATAATCAAGTAGAAGAGGGAGAGAGGGGTATTAAAAAAGATGATTATGGTGTTTCAGGAAAAATGTGTGGCTTTTTTTATAATTATCTAACTTATCTAACTTCCTTAATATAATCAAATTAGTTAAATATGTTTTATATTAAAGACCGGAAGAGTATCATATAACCATTCTAATATAAACAACGTGTGTGTGCGCGTATGACTTGCATTTTGACTAGCTCCACGCAACACATTAAATTCACGATAGATTCCTCAAATGTACTCGTGAAGCTACATTATATTAATGATCCTTATAAAAGTAATTAATTGGTGTCAATAATGTGTTGTACTGATGAATTATTTTCTTGAATTTCATTTCGGCTAAAAAATCTTGAGTTTCATGTGATAAAAAAGAATTGAATTTCGATGAACAAAGCGATTAAAAAAAAGGGCGACCTTGCTTATCCTTTAAGAATAATATGTTTATTTGCTAAAAGGGAATTTCCTGCAATTATATAAAAAATTAATAAATTATCCTATTTATAAGGCATAAATGTTAAATAATGCAACTCATCTCTATCAAACAATAAACAAAATCTCATACGCAAAAACTATACATTAGTATTTTTTAAAAGAAAAAAATTCAAGTTAAATTCTTTATACTGATCATGGATAATTGGAGAATTTAACACAATAGATATAAAAAAATTTGATGTAAGTATTTTTCTATTTTAAAAAAGTACAATCAATTTAAATACTACTTCAATATACCAGTATATATAAATTATGTGAAAGCTAAATTATGCGTTCATATGCAGGTTGTTTGTATTTAATTAATAATTTGAGTGGTTGAGTAATTTAAATTTCAATTACTTGAGATTAAAATGAAACCATATTTATATATTTCAATACTTTTCTATTTAATGCAAAGGTCCTCCGTTTTTAAAAATACCATATTTATCATCAAATATACATTAAATCAGCGCACATGTTGTTTTAAGGGTAAAATAACCAAATGGATTAGATTTATTATTTCCTACAACAATATATAATTTTGGCATAAATTTTTAGCGATATATTATTATAGTAAATTATTATATTTTTAATACGATTTTATTTCATTCTTAAAAACACTTTTACTGAAAAAAAATTTAGTTAGTTTTTGTTTATTTTTAGGATCTATTAGGTTTATTTCAGAGATCCTCCGAAATGGCGTGAAAACCATTTTATTTTAAAACAAAAGGGTTACGTAAATTTCTATGCATCGTGTGGATTTCCGAATATTAATTAATTTTCAAGTCTTCCATAGTTTCCTTGTGGTGGAAGGAGAAACCAGAGACGACTGTCACTTGTAGGCTCCGTCCATTTTCGGCTCTTCGCAGTAGCGTATGGTCTTCAGCGTCAGGTTCGGCTACGATATCAACTTGTAAGTTCCAGCTTTCTGTGCGATCTTTCTGTACAATCGAGACCGTTTGATATAAATTTCATTTCAATTCCATGACCGTTGTGTATTTTATACCCTTCCCATAATTTTGATATGGCTGTAAAATTACTTTGTTTTCGCCTATCATTTTCGGTTGGTTTACATTTATTTTGTTGTGGTTTTGATCAGCTTGCTCAATCGCTCATCTTCGGTTAATCTGTAGCGATGAAGGGTGTTGGGTATTATGATGATCGGGCATGTTATCCATCTTCAAATTTGTCAGCTTTCGCTCAACCATTCAGTGTTAGCAAAACCACGCCCAAGGACGTTTCAGCCCCATATGCAGATTTAGCAGAAGCCGCAGATGCTATCCCCTCGAATCAATTTCCTGTTCACTCTCGCCCTTATGGTTATGATTTTTTTCCGAATCCTGTCAGAGAGTTGGATTCAACGCCTTCCTCAAAGGCATATGGATGCTCGAGCTCACAAGTGTTAGATCCACCCACTAGCCAGTTGCCTCATTTTAACACTCTCGGCTTGGCTTCCAAGGACACATTTGCTTATGATCAATCTTCTAATAACATAAAATCAAGTCTTGCTGAAGCCCAACCGTACTATCCTTCATATATTTCACCATCAGCTCATGTTGTCAATCCAGCAGCACCTGATCACTGGTCCACCCTGGACGATACTAAAAACAAGTCAGAAATAGGGTATTCGGGCCAGAGGGTTGGCTTTTGGAATCAGTTTGCGGAGTTAATCCAAGGTAATAGTAGTACGCCGGTGGAGGCTGGGGGCAGTTTCTGCTCAAACGAAGCAAATTTAGCTGGTCCGCTTATTGAAGAAAACCTTGTGAACCAAGGTATGTTTACTCTTTCCTCAATGCCTGATTTTCTTGTTGAAGCTACCGATGGTTTTACTCTCAAAAGTGTTTATTGTTGATGCCCAATACGTTGAGCTATGCTGTAATATGTTAACATCATGCTATCTCACTGTTCCAAATATACAGAGTATAATTTTTGTGACCGCCTGGGAATCATACGAATCTGATAACTATGCTTCTATTTCAGAAATTGATTGTTTGGTATTTCTTTAACTCACTATAACCCAGTCCTATTGAGGTGATAGATCTCTCATCGGTAAATTACAGGCCATAAAATGCTATCTTTGATCTTTAGTATAAGATCTACTTGACTAATTTGGTTAGATTAAGAAAAGTAGTTAAATTAATTATTTGTCAAAAATATGTATCGGTTTCCTTTAAATACCCTCTGAAATAATTTGGATTGAGAACTACCATTTGATGCAAATTCCCTTAACATATGTAATCAATAAGATTAGTTTGGATAAATAAGAGGGACAATATGCATTGGAGTCCAAATTCTATCCACAACTAGCTCTTTTATTAGGGATCAAAGGTAGTAAATTACATCTTGGTGTATTGAATAGAATCAATATTATGAACAACTATGCCTGAGCTATCAAATCAATTCATTGTGTAAATTTGAATAATATGTTTTGAATGCAGGATATCCCGATGTTAAGGCCTCAAATAATGATAAAGTGTTACATTGTATCAATACCATCGGTTGGGAAAAGCATGGGGTGAGTGTGCCTGTCTGTGTGGATCAATTGGATGATAAATCTTGCTGGTGGCAAACTGCCAATTCCTTGCCATTCAATATCCCGAGTACATCTATTCAAGGATCCCCTTTGGTTTCTCATGACACTCATTATGACAACCGCTTGAAATTAGTCACAGATTCAGGGAGCTATCACTCTTCATACAATGCATCAACTGACCAACTTTTGATACAGCATGACAAACCTTCACTGGTCGATGCAGGATCTTCAGCACCTATAACAGGAATAGATGTGGGTTTCAGTGTTGGCAATATTGCAGCGGGTGGGGACCTTGGAAGCAATAATATTACTAATATAAAGGAGGCTTATCCCCTGCCAAGTCCTAGAAGCACAGGATTCTTTGATTCAGGTCCTATTCACATGCATTTAAATAGAGACGAATCTACCTCAGCAAACAATGTAATGCTTCCAGACAGTCATGTTTCTACAGGTGTTGTTGATTATATATTCAAAGCAAGGAAGGAATTTCAAAATCCTCAAGCAAGTCTGAATAATTTAAGCTTGGGATTCAGAAATGATGAGGATGTCAATTTGAAATCCTTTGAAAATGTTGATAAATGTAACCCTGCTGTGGATTCACCATGCTGGAAAGGAGCTCCAGCCACCCATTTTCATTCTTTTGATGGTTCTGAGGCTCTGTATCCACAACATGAAAAGTCAAACGAAGAGAATTTTTCTCTTAATTTTGAAGGGCCTCGGAACTTTCGTCTTGATGCAAGCAATATCACAGAAATATCATGTGACAATTCAAAGACCAATCAAGTGGACAATGAAACCGACTATCTGGAAAAGGGTTTGGCAGGCTCTTCAAGGAAGTTTTCAGTGGCAAATGTTTCATCTGAAGAAAATAATTTAGAAGGTGCAGCAAGTACTGGATGTTTTGAGTACAAGCCAATCTATGATTATGGGCTTCATTATCTGGATGACAATTCTGAAATGACAGAAAATAATGTGCCATCAAACAAGTCAACATATGATTCTGAGTCTAGATTTTCCAACAACGAGCAACAGATTATGGAAGAAAAGATGTCTCAGAAGCAGCATACCTTATCCGGGGCATGTGCAGATGCTGGAGTTAATAGTAATGAGTATTCGAAATACTTTACATCCGATTCAGCAGAGCCTTCACCTTCCTTGCCTTCAAGAGCAGCTGCCTCTACTGCCTTTAAAGAATCAGCCGCAAAAGCATCAACTCTAAAAATAAACATCCAAATTCTGGTTGATACAATGCACAACTTGTCAGAATTGCTTCTTTTTCATTGTTTGAATGATACATGTGAATTGAAAGAAAATGATTGCAGCGTCCTTAGTAATGTGATTAGCAATCTTAATACCTGTGCTTCAAAGAATGCTGGCCAAATGTTTCCTGTGCAAGACTGCGCTTTCCCTCAACCAAATCCTTCTAAGCATGTTAGGAAACCGCATGAGCCTGGGCAGGTAAGATTTGATTCCTATTCAATAATAATTCTGAGCTATCTGATGGAGGGAACGCTTTTCCCCCACGTTTGAGGAGTTCAGAGATCATAAATTATATGATTTATTTGCATCACTTATTGGTGAGAATTTGACAAAGACATTGATATTCTTCATTTACATATGTAGAATACGTTGCTCGCTGACTTAGCCACCTTTTTCTGAATATCCTAGTAGATGGATCATTCTTCAAGTTTTGATAGGTTTCATTGTGAGCCAAGCATTTCTGAATGCTTACTTCTAAATCATCTCATACAGTTTTAATTTTTGACTTAAAAGCATGACAGGCCAATACTAGTCACATGGCCCACCTTCTACACATGTAACTTACAATGACTACTTTTGCTTCAAGGTGCTTGCCTGTTACACGTGTTTGGGATTATGAATGTGTATGGTAGGCAGACTGTCCAATCAAGGAGATAAAGTTCAACTTTGCTTGGTCCTTTTTGCCTGCTTGGAAAGGAGATTCAACGCATTTTTTGTTGTTTAATCTGGGAAATAATTATTTGGAGAAGAAAAGGAAACTTTTGACATGATGCTAAGCTTGTTGGAATTGAAAGTGGGCCAGATTAAATTGCACTATGAGCATGTAATGGGATTAGGATACCCAGTAGAGGCAGATTGCGGGCCAGTTTGGAGAACTGACTCCAGTTAAATTTTAGAGTTTTAAGTTTAATTTTCCTTGTTTGAATTGGGGTATTGACTTTCGGTAAAATGCTAGAAGTAGTTGTCCTATAGCTATTTTCCTGTATGACTGCAAAATTTAGCGTGATGTGTTCTGATACCCAACACACTATCTGGTTTTCAAGAATTAGAGGTAACATTCTTGATGCTTTTGTTAGTTTCATGCCAGAAATCTAACCAATATGTGACTTAATCTGCGACTTTAATATATTAGTTTTTTTGTAATTTGGTTCTGAAACATCTAGGATTTAGAGACCATATTTACTCCCCAATTCTTTAAGGGAAAATGGTGTGCATCTTTTTGTCTCTATTCACTAATATTTTGGTTCCTTGAGGCTTTGGTTGAAGCACATGGTTCTTTGCTTATTTTATATGCCGATTATTTTATTGGCCCTGCATTAAAATGATTGTAAATCTGAGTAAATTGTCAGAATGCAAGGTTTGAGAAACCCCACTTAACCAAGGTGGATCCAGGGGGCTCCAAGGTTGACCATGAGAATCTGCCTGTTCAAGAGATGAAAGCCCATCATTTTGCATCTGGTAAACTGGGGAGGTTTTCTGATTCCTTTCCTGCAAAGGGTGATACAGACATGATGATAGAAGATAACACGATTGAGGTGCTTTTTATGTCATTTTCTGTTATTCACTACTGTTTAATGCTGTTTTACTGTCCCCAGAAAGGTAGCAAAGACAATCGAAGAAAAAAAATTTAATTGCTTTGGCATACTTTTGATTTATAGGCTCTGAAAAGTATTCTCACTGAGAATTTCCATGATGAGGAAGGAGCAGAGTCTCAAGCTTTACTATATAAGAATTTATGGCTTGAGGCAGAAGCTGCTATATGTTCCATGAAATGCAGAGCTCGCTATAATCAAATGAAGATTGAGATGGAGAAATGTTCCAAGCGAAGAGGTGTGCATTTATTTTTATTTCAAGATGACCGATTGTTCAAAATCCTAGAAAACTAAACTGGAAAGTTGGTTTGGTTGTTTTTTCAAAAGCTAATATTCTGGTTCTTGTGCCTTAGATGATGTTTTTGATGTGGAGGAGCAATCCAAACCAGGTCATCCTCATGTAAGCACAGCTCAGAGTTCTGCCGCCAAAGGGAACGTTGACTTAAAGGAGGTATCTGGTTTGAAGTTTTCTCCTGATCTGAACAAGCCTTGCACATTAACACCAGACGATGATGATGGTCAAAACCTGGATGGTTTCATCCTGGATTCTGCTGTTTCTGGCACAAGCAAAGAGATTGGAGAGTGTGAAGCTTCAACTAAGGCCACATTCTATTCTTGTAATTACAGGGATGTAAATACATGTGTTGATGCTGCCAATCTGACGGGACAACTGAGTTCTGAGGCTTCTCATGCCCTTGACGCGGCAGACAAATTGGTGTCTGGACGGACAGATAATGAAGACCAAGCCAATTTCATCCGAATATCACCTAATCCTGGTAACAGCAAGTCTGATGATTATGTATCTTCTGTTATGGCTAGATTCTGCATTCTTAAATCCCGGGATGAAGAGTCATGTGCCAGTACTGCCAATACAGAGGAACTACCAAGTTCTATGGTTTCTGATGCCCTGAACCCAGCAGACAAATCTTTTTATGGGCTGACAGATAGCAAAAACCAAGCTACTGATTTCACCCAGGTAAACAAGGATGACGATTATTTATCTTCTGCTATGGCTAGACTCCGGGTTCTTAAATCCCGGGTTGAAGATTCTAGTTCTGTCTCGTCAGAAGGGCAACTGTTAGATGGAGTTGAATCTGCAGGGAACAGAACTGATTGCCCGATCACAAGAGATGCGTCGGAGGCCCACAGTTCAAATGTCAGTATAAGTCCTCCCATAATGCACCTGAGTTCCTATGCTGCTGTTGAACTGTCAACACCGAAGGAATTTCATCCGAATTTGGAGGATGCTCACGAAATTCAGCCTCAAGGAACATACAGGTTTGGCATTCAGCTTCCCACGCATTACTCTGATGGCTTCTCGTCAGAGTGGGAACATGTTAAAATGGAGGAGTTCACAGGGCAGAGTTTCAAGCTTTGAAAGAGCTGGAGGAAGTTATATGAATGTCTATGGGTCAGCCGTTTGTGATTACCTTAATTAGACATATATGAGTGAGACTGGTACTTTGGTCTGTGGCTTCGTCGCTTCGACATAAATAAATAACTTGGCATGGCTATGGATCTTATTTCAGTATTTGACTAGCGGATGAATGGTGCATGTTTTTATTTTCCTTTCCCAAGTGCATTTTCACGAGTGTTACGTCAGGATTAAATCAGCAAAGTGCCAAATGGAAACTTCCTATTTCAAACTAAACCAAAATTCTTGTCTTCTTGCATTCTTTGATTCAGAGAAAGCATTATAGCTGTTCCTGATACGATTTGTTTACTTTGGGCTATGCTTGAGACTGAGGCTTTTCAGCCATCGTATTGGTTTTACGTTTTTCCTTGAAGGAAAGTAAAATAACTTAAATTCAAGAAAAGCTCAAAATATCTACATAAAAAATCTCAAAAAAAAATATTAAGCCTAAAACTTGTGAATGCATATTTTTACCTATCAATATACATTTCCATATCTTAAATTAATCACCTTTAAAGCCTATACCATCGTTGCTGGGATTTTCTTCACTTGAAGATCTCAGCGCTTCTGGCACGTCTCATGACGTACATAGCTGCACAAATCGGCTTGTTATATCTTGTTTACCAGTAGTTTCCCGATTGATGACCAGAAGAAATATTTTCTATTTTTTCCCAACATGTTAGATGCTGGGGTTTACATTCACAAATACAACTCCATCGGATGGAATTATCAGTACTTTCGTCAATGGTTCTACCACCAAGCTGTAAAGGTGGACAAGTTGACAGTCCAATTCTTTGCTATTGGAGAGGCTCTGTATTTTCTAAACGAGCAACAAGTTGTGCAGAATATTTTCAGCCTATCTTTAGGTTTTGATTGGGTATCTAAGTCTTTTTGCTCTTTTGTTACTAATACAAGAGGGGCTCCCTCGTTTTGTCAAGCTCTGCAGGAGGACATTCAAGCTCTGTTTTTTGTTGTTTGCTTATTTTGGGGGAAAAAAGGATGAATGACTTTTGATTCCTCATTAAAGCTAATGTCATCAATGTTTTATTTGTAATTGCATCCACGGAATTAATTTGAATCTTTTGCAATTACAAAGTTGATTATATATATATATATATATATATATATATCAAGAGAATGATGGAAAATAGAAAAAAAAATGTGAAGAAGACGCATGAGTTTTATCTACAATCACCTATTTTTGTGCCCTTTTTCAATATATGACTGCATGATTGCGCTATTTTTGTTTGGGGGGATCTGAGAACGATTACAAAAGATCTAACTTATTATAGAACGCCGACCAGTCCAAATTGTGATAAAATTTTGAGGTAGCTTCACCAACGTAACTATTGCATAGTAGAGCCGTTGCAAAGCGCGTCATTCGATAACGCTTAAAAAAAAAAAAAAACTTGTAGTTGGTTTAGTTTAAAAGTTCCTAATCAGATTATCAATCTGCCACAGTCCCTCGGTCAATGCCAATTAACACACCTAATCCCACAGGGAAATGCTAATTTATGAGAGAGTAATTATTGAACAATAAAGTAGTCTTAAACGTGACTTTGTGTCTCCAAGGCATGCCTTGTTTCTAGGAACCTTTAACAAACCTAAGCCCAACAGGCAACCCCATCTAATGCAAATATTGTGCTATATTATTTTCGAAATGGATTCTGCTATAACAACTACTTTGTATTTTCGTGCACTCAAGTCTACTAGAACCAATTAATGCAGGTATTTCTAAACCCATGCTGCTCTGGAGCTTGAAAAAGAGGCTTTGGTTCTCCAATAATATATTATCCAACTTGATCTAGTTTGTCCTTTGCTTTCTCATGGCCACCCCAGTCAAACAAGCGTGACGTTCCAGCTTATAGCCTCATCACATGGCACTAAGGGCACTACACTGTCCTTAATTAAAGATATAAATAGGTTGTAGTTGTGCAATAAGCTTGGGAGAGTGGGGCATTGTAGCGAGGAAAATGAGTCCGAAGAAGCTAAATTTTGCAACTTTAATTATGTTCATATATTTAGTGTCTCAGAATGTTAACTCTGAGCTTCAGGTGGGGTTTTACAGCGATTCATGTAGATTTGCAGAGTTCATTGTAAAGGATGAGGTCAGTCAAGGGTTTATTCAAAACCCTGGGATTGCTGCTGGGCTTGTTAGAATGCACTTCCATGATTGCTTTGTTAGAGTAAGTCATCATGTGAAGCCATTATATATAGCTTTTAATGCAGTAAGAAACTTCATTTTGTTCAATGTTTAATTAGTATAATCAAAATTTCCCAACACAGCCCGTCGAAGTCTAGATAAATGTGTTGTTACTTGCAGGGGTGTGATGCGTCGGTGCTTTTAGATTCCACTGCTTCAAACACAGCAGAGAAGGACTCACCAGCAAATAAGCCGAGTCTGAGAGGATATGAAGTGATTGACAAAGCTAAAGCGAGACTTGAAGCAGTTTGCAAAGAAACTGTTTCATGTGCTGATATAATTGCGTTTGCAGCAAGAGATAGCATTGAATTAGTAAGTCTCCCTACATTGATTCACCTCTTCATTGGTATGGAAGTTTTCAACAAAAGGATCTTATGTGCGTGTGTGTTTTTTTTTCACATGTGCAGAGTGGAGGACTTGGGTATGATGTTCCTGCAGGAAGAAGAGATGGGAAGATATCACTAGCTTCAGACACAAGGGCAAACCTTCCCCCTCCAACTTCCAACCTTGACCAACTCACTCGACTCTTTGCAAGCAAGGGCCTCACACAAGAAGAAATGGTTACCCTCTCTGGTACGATCCTCAAAATTATACCTCACTTTAATGATCTTTATCTTTATATTAATTGCTCAAAAGAAATGAGTTCAGTCTTGAGGGTTTGGCTTCACCGAGGATATGCTTTACATTTTTATGCAGGGGCACACACCATTGGACGCTCATTTTGCTCTTCATTCAGCAGCAGATTACACAATTTCAGTAGCACGTCAAGCGTGGATCCAAGTTTAGATGCAGCATATGCATCCCAATTGAAGCGTCAATGCCCTCAAGGAACTACCAATGCTAACACAGTGGTTCCCATGGATCCTTCTAGTCCTGCAAGAGCAGACTCAGGTTATTATCTGAATATTTTGGCAAATCGAGGTCTGTTTTCATCAGATCAAGCTCTCTTGTCCAGCACAGAAACCGCTGATCAGGTGAATCAGAATGCGAGGAATCCATTTCTGTGGATGAACAAATTTGCTTATGCCATGGTCAAGATGGGTCAGATTGGTGTGTTAACTGGGAATGCTGGAGAGATCAGAACAAATTGCAGGAAGGTCAATAACTAGATAACCTTCGATGGTGTGTATTTAGCTAATGATTTTCCATTTCCATATCTTTAAAGAGGTGCAAAACGATTTTTGTTAAAGATATTTGTGTTTGCTGTTAATGTGTGGTAGAACTTTTCTTGTTTGACTTTTGCATTTGTTACGTTTGCTTGTGGGGAGGTGGCTGAAATGTGTTTGCATAGCTTTGAGGATTAGAGAGGCATGAAGCGATGTTTTGCTTGTATAAAATGTTAATGTGGAAATGCAGTATATCAACAAGACAAGCGTAAAACTTCTTCCCCTCCATTTTTTGTTGTTCTTTTTTATTCCCTGTGCACCCTGAAGTGAACAGATAGTATCAGAGCTCACTGATCTTCGGGGTACCTGAGTATAAGCAAGAACCACTCAGGAAGACCTCCTCTCAGCCGAAAATACTTATTACATTGGCCAATAGGTACCTACTGTGTTTGATGGTCAGGACTGCTAGCATTAGATTGTGAAGATGAAGGCACATCTTAAAGGATTAGAAGTTGTAGAAAAAAGCTATTGTTCCTTCCCCATTAAGCTCAAACGGAGCATCACTTTGAAGATACGTGAAAAAGTTTAGGTCTTTGTCAATTATGAAACCATATTTGCAAGGATCGTGGCACACGAAAGTGGAAAGGAAACTGAGGACAGGTTATGGGATGAATCATTTATGCATTATAATAAAGAAAGAGTTGGACCACTTCAAGATGAAGGGCGGGCAAACAGGTTAACGAAGATAATGAATCAGATTTCATGTACGTAGAGTAGTTGTTGATCAGCCTCCCCGGAAAAAATGGGAGCATATATTTCCTCAGTTAAAAACTTCACACATTTATCTGCTTGCTTGGGCCAAATTAGCGAACTCTCACTAACTGTGGAGGCCAGAAATAATTAGAGGTAGAAAGTGATACTTTGCTTATACAAAGTACTAATTTGAAAACATAAGATGTAAACAAGTTTTTATTAAAAGGAATAAAAAGTCTTCACCTCCATTTTATTTATGGTGTGCTCCCTCAGCTGGAAAAGTGGAAATAAAAGGAAGTGAACTGTGGAAGTGCTTCAACGTTAAGATATGCTAATTGATGCTGCGGCGTGTCTCATCTGGGGTGACTTGTGCTTTTGATTGTAAAGCAAGCAACTTGGCTTTGTTTTTGTTTTTGTTTGATGTTCATTGCGGAAATCATCTGTCGGCAATCCAAGGAAGGTAGGCCTTTCTTCCCTCTCTTGGGAGTACAGTTTTGTTATCTGCTGCAAGAAACAGAGAAAGTCGACATTGTGTTTGTCAAATTTCATGAATTTATCGTCAATGTGCATAATTGCCAACATCTAATTATCATGCACATCGCTATCAACAGCCCATTACGTTTCCCGAGCCACTCATATTCTTTAACACGGGGGCTTAAATTCTACTTTAAATATAAAATATTCTATCATTTCTTATTTATCAGCACCATTCTTAACCAATTCACTTAGATTAAGAAATTTAGTTAATTCTAGTGCGTGTTCTCCAACATAGCTGCTCATCAACATCCACACCAAAAAGCAATGTTGGATAAACTATTAATATTAGTATTTTCGTTGATTCTACGAAATGATATATAATAAGAACATGCTTTTAAAGGATGAGTTGTAAATAAAAATACATATGCATTAATATATAATATTCACTAAATAGGAACTTAACATATAATAAACCCAAATAAATGGTTCATTCCACTTTATCTAGTGATACGCAATGAATTATAGATATGGAACAGAAGTTCTCTCTCTTTTGTGCCTTGAACCGCTTTATTTTTGCTGACTACAAAATTTCATAGTTTAATCAGGGTGGTTATCCAGTAATTAACATATGATAGTTGGTATATTAATTTACACTTTAACAATTGTATATAGGTTTTATGTTAACATCATCGTCGGCTGTGGGAACTAATTGCATTCAACGCCTGTAACATCCATAGATCTTTCATCTGCTGGAAGCATGAAGTATGATTCTTTCATACGCAACATTCTTAGCTTCAACGGAATTGTAAAACTGGGGTCACTCAGAAATGAGCTCCAATGGAATTGAAGAAAAACAATAAAACCTTCAAAACTACCACCTAAAATCGTTAATATAATAACTCCTTAGTATAAAAACTCAATTGATTTTTATTTAAATCTTAAATATAAAATCATAATATACTTTATTTTTATATTTATCTTTTTTTTACGCTCAAAATAATTCTTATAACATTGATACTTCTAACTAATACATTTAATTAGCAAAAATATTTTTAAAAAAATAACATCTATTTAATACAAATAACTAATTCGATTAATTTTCTTAATCTATTCAAATTATTCAACTCCCTCTGATATGGGCATAGCTTGTTTGGATGACTAGGCAGTAGATAACTGCAACGTTTCAGTGAATCGTTCAAGAATTAATGAGAAAATACTCGAAATTAAGCACTACTTCATTCATTCGAGGACAAATTGCATTCAGCAACAAACGGGGCAAGACAAGGACGGAAGCATTATAAATCAACTAAGCCAAAACTTAATATCATGAATAGTCATGGTATCTGGTTGAGAGGAAATAGCTCATGGAAGGTTTGATCATGTGTAGACGCGACTGAAAAATAATGCACTGACCATGACGTCCCACAACTATGAGAGCAACAAAATTTACGATACCGCAACCATATTGATGGCTGATATGGCTGTGACTAAAGTTACTAGAGGGAGGCGTTAGATCCAAAATCATCCCAAAAAAATACGACTTAAATAAAATGAAGCACAAAGCTTAAGTAGTGAGCTCCATGATGGCACCAACAATGTCCCCATTGTGAGTCTTGAGAGCCTTGACAGCCTTGCTTCTTGAAACTCCTGCCTGTGTCATGACCAAATCAATGTCTCGTGGCTCAACCCCAGTTTCATCAACCTCCTCCTCTTCCTCATCGGCCTGTGTTCCGGCAGCAGCTGCTGCTGCAGCATCTGGTTTTGCCGCCACAGATCCCATGTCAGGCATCCTGAACTGCTGAGCAGCTTGTGTTTGCAATTGAGAACTCAAATCCTCTATCTTTGCCTCCCCAAATATAACATATGTCTCAGAATTTGGACTCTTGAAGACATCAGGTTTTGAGATGAAAAACAGTATCTGAAGCAGAATGAAATTAGTAAGATGACATCCATATATATCATATACAAAGAAAAAATTGGATGATGACTCACATTTTTTGTTCTCTTAATTGTGACTCTACTAACACCAGTAACTGGCTTCAGTCCCAACTTCAACATTGCTTTACGACTCTTCTTCTCACTTCTGCTCTGCTTTGAACCCTCAGTAGCACCTGCATTTCGTAACGAGTAAAGCAGATTTAGGAACAATGTAACGAATAGATAACACGGAAAAGCCAAAGTCAAAAAAGGGAGGGCCGTTCCAACAACAGGTAGCATAGGATGGATACAGTCATTCCCAGTTGCAAGATAATATTCAACAAAAGCAAGAAAATTTTAACATAGAATAGAGGTAATAACATATAGCTATTATCTAGAGGAAATATTCTAGTACACTAAACTGATGATTGTTAACCATCTCCAGCACATAGCACATATTAATTCAATTGTGTTAATCCATAGCTTCATCTGAATCATGATAATAGAAAAAACAAGCAAACTGCATAACACAGAGTTGAAGTTGAACTAAGAAAAATCTCGACCATACATACGGAATATTTGACAAGAAAAAAAACCTAGCTTATATGTACTTAGCACGCTTAAACATACAAGAGTTGATCAACCAGACAGCTTAGCTACAAGATAGTATCAGACCCCCAAAAGTCTTTTCATGTACACTGCTACAAGCAGAGAACCAATGACTCGTTAACTTGTGGTCGACCTCCACCCTTGTTGAAAGAGATTAGTTTTGGACCCAGAGGAATATACAGACTTTATTCAAAAAGCACTGCTGTAAAACACTAAAACATGCATATCTACTACTAGTTTTAGTTGAGAAAGCGTAATTTTGCAAAAGAAAGCATGTGCATCACCGTCAGACATCAAATACAAGAAGACAGTTAACAGGGGAAATCCACACAGCAGCCAAAAGATAGGGCGTAGATTCAATATAGAATTAAATGGGGGTATATTTCCGTTTACCAAGTACACGATATCCTATGCAACAGATATTCAAGTTGCAGACACATTAAAAGTTATAAGATCCCCATTATTCATGCCTGTATTGATACATCAAGTAGGATAATCCTAAATTTTCTACATATTTCAAAAACACATACTTAATATCATCTACAAGTCTCCCAATTATCAGTCTGCAACCACCAGCAAAGTCAGAATTACCGAAAGTCATAAAAATTTAAGACAAATCAAACGCCGTTATGCCCTGGAACCCTAGTTCTATACAGTAAATATTAGGTGAGCAAACTATGAAATAAAGCTACAAAAAGCATTTCTTAATTTCATAATAGTTTAATGGAAGTATAAAAAACCTTGAGCTCCCTCTTCCTTCTCATCATCCTCGTCCTCGTCCTCGTCGTCCTCATCAGCATCATCTTCATCTTTGTCATCATCTTTCACATCCTCGACAACGGGGGCATCCTCATCCTAGAAAATTAGATCACACGAGTAAAGCCAAAAAGAAAACCAATGAGCGAAGATGAGAGGAATGAATTAAAATAAGCGATAAAAAAATCATGGGGTCAAATAAAACCTGATGCTGAGGTTTAGTGTTCTGAGTATCATCGGAGGCAGGAAGTGGCTGCTGGGTTTCAGCCTCGGCGGCGGGCTCAACAACGGGACCTGGAGACATGTCTTCTCACACCCGGAGTAGGGGTTTCGCACGGTGGAGCTGCGAAATAAGGACGATAAGGTTTATTAGTTTTAGCATTCTCGCTTCCCCCTAACCCCTGGGTTTTATCCGATCCTCATGAAGGGTTTTCTGCGTATTGGGCCCTAAATTTGGGCCTACATTACTATCTCTCTGTCGACGGCTTTCGTGTTTTGAGCCCAAAAGAAATGGCGATTATACAATCTGGGGTCCCTAAAGTAGCACTTATATTCTATTTATACGAGCCTGACGTTCACAATTACTATTATTATCATTTTTTTCATTACCTTAGGTAACAGAATCTACTTAACAAGTAAATACATCAAAAGAATATTCAAAGGAATCAATGCGCATAGGATTTTGCAGACTGAGCTGAGCAAATTTTGTTTGTGACTTGGTTGATTACATGTATGTTCGTATCAGGTAATACATTTTCCTGGTGTTTTTGCAGTTCTGAAAAAAAAAATTGTCATCTGATATATTTTTCTGTATGTTCTCATGGATATAAACTCAACATTTGCGTAAGATCTATTGTACAATTAGAGAATATGGGTATGCTCGTAAAAGAACTGATTTATTTCTTTCACTGTTTTCCTTTTTTTTTGGGGGGGGGGGGAGGTGTTCACTATTACCTCTGTTCCAGTGCTCTGAGAGTTGCAAACAAATGAAATAGAGACTTCCGAGAGGTTAGCCTTCCCAGTTTCACATCCTTATTATTTATCCCAAAGGCAGAAAAATGATGGCAAATTACCTTTCAAATTCAATTATCGAAGGGTTCTCTCTCTCATAAACGCTACTATTTTTAATGGTTTGGAATCTAATGTTCAACCCCAGGAGTGGTTGCTACCTGCTTCATGCTGGATTATTGGCCTGGAATCCAAGGTGATCAAAAAAGGTACGAGAGTACGAGACTCCTATGAGTAATTACGAGAAGAAGCAACTGCATCCATCTTCTTCCAGCACCTCCGAGCTGGAATTAGGCAAGAAATTACATATAAATACCATGGGCTTTTAACATCTTTACAAAACCCAACTTAAACCTAGCCTAAGCAATTCTTTGGAAGAGCAATTGATAATTAAACCATCAAGGGCATTGCTCTGATATACTTCAAGAGTTAGCCCCCGGTGTCCTCTGCATGTGTTAAGTTACGGATATACACTACCCAAAAAGTCAAATGCCAACTATGGATTTGGCAGCATCATAACAAAAAATAAGTCTTTTTTCTTTCGCATAAACCTTTTAAAGACACAAGGATCGTGTCAAGCAAGAGTATTTCTCATTTGTGAGAAACTAGTTGCTTCTGCATCTCCACTTGTTGTTTGTGAACGTTCCTCTTGTCCTTCCAGTAATCAATACTGTGGGCATGGCAGTGAGAATTCCAGTACTTACATGGGGCAGCTGAATCGCAGACATAACAATAGCACTGCATTTGATCAACCATTCAAACAAGAATCTATTATCAGTCATTCAAGATAATGATTTCTTTATTGTCAAAAGACAGTGACAAGTTGATGTACCATTTCACAGTAGCTTTCGTGAGGCTTCGTACTGAACGGAAATTTGAGACACAGATGTCTTGAATGCGGATAATCTCTGCACGCTACCTGTTTGTCAAAAAATCTTAACCAGAGCATCCAGCAAGACATTCTCATGCCAGGCAAAGAAAAAGGAGCAGTTGAAATCCAAATTACAGATTGCCAATTTACCCTTTTGAATGAAACTGACGAAACCTTATTAGATGATATTGATCTCACATTCAGCCTCGAACTTTTGTATCCCGGTATGATGAGTATAAATATATAAAAATGAATTTATTGGTTTTCCACTCAAACTTTTTTTTTTTTAAGTGACAATTCCACTCAAACATTTTACCATGGGCCACGAATTAAAAAAGGGGAAAATATGGCACACAACAAGCTAGTACGCTTGCGCCAAACACTGCAAGATACGTAATTGATATGACCAAATCAATGAGTTAAATAACTGAAGTTAAAGGAAAATAGCTGAAATTTTGAGAAAGGATAGTTGCAATCCATTGATGTTATACCTCGCCCTTTTCAGCAATAATAGAGAGATCACTGACATCTTCGTCAGGAGGGTTCTTCTTCTCCAAAGCGAGCTTCGATAGGTCAACCGACTCAAAAGGATCAAACTCTAAGATGAAGCAGTCCTCAGATTCCTCGACCCGTTTTATGTCATCTCTTCTTTTAAGGCAGAATATAGGCCTAATTGGACTATCGTCTTCTTCTGAGGAAGAAAGGGAGATTATCTCAATCGATTTCTTCAATTCGCTCAATGGTACCAGGGAGGGCTTTCGGTCAACTTCTCCCATTGCTGTTATCCTTTGTTTTCTGCTTGGCTCCCAAGAAAGCAAGCGGATCGCCTTGCTCAGATTCCTTCAGCATTCGGGATTTGAGTGGTGAGACGAGGGATTTAAGGGCAGCAAAATCCGGAAATCAAATTTCAGAATTGGAAAGGACCGTTGGGAATCCCTAGACTAAGCGCCAACGGCCTAACGACGTCGTTTCGTTAAAAAGGCACGAGATTGCAAAAGTAGGGTGCTCTATAGTATTTCTATTAGCAAGATAGATATTCAGTGCTGCCGTGGGCCCAAAAAAAGAAAGAAAGAAAGATATTCAGCATTATCATATTTTATCTATCCTAAGCAATCTCATGCTCTATCTTACTTATTAAGGTATTGAAATTTTTACCTTCATCTTAATTAAAAATTATTGAATTACTAAATTGCTGGTAAGGGAGTGTTTAATTAAAATATAGGAACTATATAATTTTTAACGACAATAAAATAGGATGCAATATGGAAGTGCTTATTAATTCTCATCTGACAGATTCTTTTTTTATATATATAAATGAAAAAAGGCAACACGCCTGAATAAAAAGAAGAAATCAATTTAAAAGGGGATTGAATCCCAAACTATCTTTCAAGCACAATTTCTTAAAATGTCTAAGACAATAATTCAAATTAGAAGTTGTGGACAGTCAACATGATTTAATTTTTTAGAAATATGATGAAGTTTCGGATCCCAAGAGAAGCATGTTAATCTCTATATTTTCATAAAAACAAGACTATAAGATTCTTGTGTCTTGTTTTTCAGTAGCATGTCTATCAGAGTTTTGAAATCAAATTCTAAAATGACTCTCCTGAATCCAAAATCCCAAGTTAACTTGAGGCCTCTGAACACAGCCATTATTCAGCTTCAGACACATTACATTGACCAATCATTTGAGTAAATCCCACGATCCATTGTCTCATGTGGTTTCCAATTAGTCCACCACAACTTTCTACACATCGTGAAGCTGAAATAGCACCATCTATATTTACTTTAACCCATTGATTCGGGGGAGGTTGCCAAGAGGTAACTTTTAAAACATAATCATGTGGTCGAAGAAAAACAGGGTCATTCATGCACACAAAAGAATTCCAACAACTTAGAACAGTAGAGACAGGATCAATAGGTTTATTATAATCAACTTCAAAGCAAAACTTATCCCTCCAATTCCAAAGAAGCCAAACTGATACACCAAAAAGTAAGTTCCAGTCAAAGTCCATTTTAACAGCTAACTCAGTTGACAGATTTACAGCTATCCAATCACGTAGAGCAGCTGAAAAATATTGAGATAAATACCTAGGTTTAACAAGAGTGCACCACATCCTTTTTGCAAATGAAAAATCACATAAAATGTGCAAAGCATTTTCCACTCCTCTTTCACAGTAAGAACAATTAGCAGAAGTAGAAGACCATGAACTTCTCCAAGCATTGATAGGTAGTCTATTGTGAAAGGCAATCCATTAGAAGACCCTAATTCCTTCTGCACCTTTCCAACTCCAAATAGATTCATAGACAGAGATGAAATTATTAGAGAGCTCATAATCAACTAAATCATAAGCACTTTTTACGATGAAAGTACCATGAGCAGTCGCTTTCTAGGTCATAACATCATTCCCAGCTGCTGCATAAGGAGGTAGAATAGCTATAAGCCACTGCAACTTGGGAGTTCACTGTATTTGCAAGTCTATTATAATCCCAAGTCCCATCTAGTACCCATTCAGCCACTGTGTTTCTTTCCTCCTCTATAATAAGAGGTCTCACACATATATCTAATTTTTGTATCTTGGAACAACCAGTAGTCATTGAAGAAGCTCACTATCTCACCACTCCTAACCTGCCGCCTTGTACCCTTTTGCAATAAGGTCTTTTTGTTGACAAAATGGCAAAGCCTAGAGTCACCTTTCTGTACATTAAACAGATTCTCTTCTGCTCTTATCATATATTTATGGTGCAGAACAGCAGACCATATACCCTTGGTTCCCATAAGAAGGTTCCAAGCCAACTTAGCTTCGAAAGCACAGTGCATCAAATTTAGTGTCTTAATTCCTAATCCTCCAAAGTGCTTAGGCATAGTAATAGAGTCCCAATTAATCGGATGAAATCCATGACTACTTTGCATCATTCCCCAAATAAAATTACGCTGCAATTTCTCCACTTCATGATAAAATTTTTAAGGCAATTTTGTCACCTGCATGGGGTATAAAGGAATGGTACTGATTACAGATTTAGCTAGAGTGATTCTTCCAGCAGTTGAGAGGCAATAGGCTTTTCAGGATGACGACTTAGATTAAACTCTATCAACAATGTATTGAAAAGTTTTAGTTGAACTCTTTTTTCTAGTAAGGGAAATCCCAAGCATCTACCAATTTCATCAGTAATTTTCATACCTATAACTTCTTTGATTTTTGCTTTCAAATGAGAAGGAACTTTGGGAGAGAAAAACATGGAAGATTTTTCTTTGCTTACTTTTTCTCCTGAAGCTTCACAACAAAGATCTAAGCATTCCATCATATACTTACCTTGCATCTCAGAGGCCTCTCCAAAAAGAAGAAGGTCGTTTGCAAATAAAAGATGAGACACCATAAGTCCATTCCTAGACACTCGGATCGGTTTCCACCTACCATTATTAACTGCATCAGGGATAATATGTGACAGCCTGTCTATACACATCGCACATAAATATGAAGAGATGGGATCTCCTTGAGGGAGACCTCTAGAAGGTGTAAACTACTCAGTTTGATTGATCAATGAGATTCTTCATTTTAGTTGGTTCACATGATATCACCAGGACATTATTCTTGGGCGCATAATTCCACGATACTGTGATTTCAAACACAGTACATTTACTCAGCCAAAAAAAGAAGTAACATAATGGAAGCCTCATTAATGGACAGAAAGGGGGCAACAAATCTTTTTAGGATCGGTTTTGTTGAAATTTTTTTAAAATAGAAAGATAGTTTTTTTTTTCAAAAAAATCATATACTTATGTAAATTTATTAAATTGATACATTTTTATGAAAAGTCATTTTTTATATAAATTAATATTTTTATATAAATGGTCCTATAATAAGTTACAATATTAAAACGTAGCAAGGTTGATTTCTAAAAGCATATATAAAAGGCGTGGTAGCCGCCAACTTTGTAGAAGGTTGTGTTATTTTCTTAAAGCAACCCTGCTTATTAAAAGGCATAACTATTCATGAAAAGGATATTAAATATTATTTAGTTATTTAAATTATGTTACTTCATTTGTGACTTTAATTAAAGAGATATTGCTCCAATAAGCATCTCTTTAAGGCATCACTTTGTGGTTTACATAAACTCCTCACCTTCCCTTCATTTGCATACAATACAACACAAACACATCAAAATCAAATTCGTTGTCTTTATCTTTGAGTGCACTCAAGTCAAATTATCACATTGTAAAAGTAATTATTGTCTTTTCTTAAATTTTAGGAATGCAATCCATATTTAAGGATCTTTATTATATCATGAAGAAAATTTAACGGTTAACTTAACTTACACCCTATAATATAAAACTATATGAGAGCAAATGAAGCCTAAAAAAATGCTGCGTCTTAAAGACATTGTATACCACTTTTTTCCTCTTCTCTTCTTTTTGTATTCTTCAAATAATAATTCCGTGGAAACATATTTGGTGTGAGAGAATTAGATGGGAGGGACGTAAAAACTTTTATGAGTTTGATTTAAAAAAATGAGGTATAAAATATTTAATTAATTAATTGTTCTTATTCTTATATTTTCTATATTTTTATTAAAAAATTTTAACTTTATCCTTCTAATTTTTCAATTTCTTGAATCAAGTTCATTAAAAAAATTTCTCCCTGTCTTTTCCTTCAATTTCGAATTTCGATCGTACGAAACATAAGATAAAGATAACCATCCTTCGTTGATGGATGACAAACAAAATCAAAATCCTCAAGGACTTGCGGGTAAAAAAAAAAAAATGATATGTGAGAATTAAACCACCCTGCACACGCATACCATATATAAAGTGAATAGTTTTTTATTTTTCTGATTCTAAATATAAAACCTATTTTAATTTATCTTATAAAATAAGTTTTACTACCTTCAGTCCTTAATATTAAAGTTAGTTAACTAATTTGAGTAGATTAAAAAAAACTAATTAAGTAATTATTTATAATAAATAGGTATTATTTTTTTAAATGTCCTTATTAATCAAATTTATTGACTAGAATTACTATTATTATAGGGACTATTTAAAAATAAATAAATAAGTATGAGATACAAAAATATATTGGAGTCTTATATTTATGACCAAAATAAAATTAAATAAACTCTTATATTAAAAACTAAAACTAATATATATTTAGGATTAAAAGAGTATATAGATTAGAGCTTTACATTTTGTTTTGATGTGAGTAAGGGATGAGTAACTATAAAAACCGACCAATATTCCAACAAAGGACCTAAATTGGCTGCCTAATTCCCATTGGCTTTGTAAGGGACATCAAGTCTATGAGACCAAACAGGTTTTTAATACTCTTCCAATCCTAAATATATAAAATGAGTCTTATATTTAGAATTAAAGGAGTATCTTCTAATGAACATCAAGACTGTATTACTTTCAGTCCTTAATATAAATACTAGTTTGATTTTTAATTTGGTCATAAATATAACACAATGATCTATTTTGCCTTTAATATTTATCTTTTTTTTTTCTCAAGTAATCCTGTAATAGTTGGATATTTGAAGAGTTACAATCAATTTATAATTCAAACACACATGATTAATAAAGACATTTTAAGAAATACAACATCTATTCAATACAAATAACTAATATAACTAATTTTTTTAATCTTATTAAATTAATGGACTAAGTTTTATACTTTTATATTGAGAATTGAAATATATATATATATATATATATATATTCCATTTCACTCACCATGACGTAACGGTCTCGCCGATCATTCCATTTCAATTATCATTAGTTTTTAATTTAATTATTGGGCCATGTTAGTCCAGCAGCGTTGCGCTTGCGCATCAGGAACATACATTAATAGACATGTAGCTTTACATTTTAAATTCATAAAACAGAGTTCTTGTCACTTTGTCGATGCAGAACAAATCCTAACTCGACAATTCAACCAACACATGCCCTGCAACAATTCGTAAAACAAAGATTTTTATCCCTTTTTAGGCCTGTGCGAAGGTGACCAAAGATGGACAACTGCCCGTTTGGACCGTTGCCTGCTCTGGTTTTTGCTTTCACCTGTTGACAAACGGCTATAAACCTTTTTATGCATAAATAAATAAATATTAATGTTACGACCACCAACTTGGTTGTTTAATTAAATGTTTACAATTTACGATTCTGCTTACATATTCATTAATAACAGAACATTTCATCACGGTAATTAATTAATACGCAAATCCCACAAAGAATTCTACACTCGGACTCGGGGATGGCGTGTGATGAATAAAGAAACCTTATCAGCAGGCAAACTAAGCAGAATAATACGGCATTTGCGTCTTTGATTATTAATTAAGATAATGTGGTCGTCGTCTCCATCAAGGGGTGCTCTCACGTTAGGAAATAATCAAGGAAAATCTGAACAGAGTTGGTGGGGGAAGTTGGTGAAGGATGCGACGTTCGGTGGCGAGTAAATAAAGAATTAATCGAATCGTATGTAAAGACTGGGAATTTTTGCCACTAGTAATTTTATAAGGTTTGAGTTTATTAATTTTAGGCGAATTTAGAGGCCAACATTGAGGTGGATATCCGGAATTTCCACATCGCATCATTCTTTTTTTCCTGCTCTCTTGTTATGTTTATATATATATATATATATATATATATATATATATCATGTTTTAAGATATTAGGTAAGATGTTATACCCTTTGATTTGTCAATCCTACCATTTTCGGTGCTTAGCTAAATTACTTTGAGAAATTCATGGTAATGATTGGAACTACTACCTCAAATCATTAATATAATATCAGTTGACTAATTTGAAAAGAATAAAAAAGTTAAATAAATTATTTTAGAATATTATATTTATTATTTTTTTAACTAATTTGTGTGACTTCTAAACTGATATACAGTCTAATAATATATATAAATATTTCAAAAAGATCATGTAACATGTGTTATGATTATGTAATTTTTTAATTTTTCTTTTTTTAAAAATAATATATTATAGAATATATGAAAATGACTAGTTTTTATCATTTTGAATAAACTGCAAACTCCCAAGTCTTTTATACTTGATGGCCTCAGCATGGTAATTATGCGGTTATAAACTTGCAAATAAGATCACGAAAAAGAAAAATCGTAAATAAAAACGCTGCACTCTATTAAATAAATAACCATAATTTCAGTGCTTTCATTTTCCTTCTCATTGAAAATACAAGAGGAAACCTATTATTCTTTCAATCCTTAATACAAGACCTAATTGTTAAGTTAATTTTAGTCCTAAATATAAAACTTATTTATCATATTTATTAATTTTTTCTAAATTATCTATATGGATACTCCTTCAATAATAATTAGGTAAGCAAGGGAGAGAGGATATTAAAAAAAATGATTATGGTAAACATGTCATATTTTTTATAATTAACTTACTTACCTGGTTTCCTTAATCTAATCAAATTAGTTAAATAAGTATTATATTAAGGATCAGAAAAATAGTAACGAACATGATACATCGTGCATGCTAAAAAACAGGATATATAATAATTAATAAAAAGTGGAAATTAAATTAGCATGATCAAATTTTTGGGGAAAAAATTCGCTCGCGAATTGCAAGTATAAAAGTTGATTTTCTGTTCATAAAAAGTGAAAGGCAAGAAAATAAAAGGCAAACAAAAAAGAAAAAAAAAAAAAAAAAGCGTTGTCACAGTTGCCGGGAACGGGGCCTGCAAAAGCAACCATCTGGAGTAATGAAATACCACCCACATTACTGGATGGATTAATCAAGTGAATTCCAAGAAACGATCAATAATAACTAGTGTTGTTATTTAAGATCCAAGTAACGCCATGCATTAATATCATTAGCATGCCTTCTTCTCACGTATACGGCCAACAGATATTTTGCCCCCCAATATAAAAAAAAAAAAGAATTAATCACAATATTTATCTGGTTTCCATTCTCATTCAAAATATTTACTTCAATTTGCGCCGTTAATACTTTAATCTGCAACAGAGTGGCCTAATAACCAAACACAGCCTAAAGGGGCCAATGAGTTGGAAGGAATTGTATGTTGACTCCTTATATGTACATGCTTGCGTCTTAACTCGTGAAACTTTCAACTTGAGTTGAACATTTGACCGAATGAATAATAACAATAATAATTAGTAAACACATAAATATAATGAACACGTCAATATCGTAATTTAATTTTTTAATCTTGCGGTTGCTTGCTTCTCGTATAAAATTCAGCACCCAATAATGCTCGGTCGTATTATTGTGGGGTACCCGTGGGGTTGGTGAAGGGCATCCATGGAAACTTTTCTGTACAAAGGGACCCTGTTCCCACCAGTATAAATCCACTCACCCCCACCGTGCTGTGCGTCGTCACCATTTTCTTCTCCTTTCTCCTTCTTTCCCCCAAAACGCAGGAACTCAAAAACCAACCGATTGGCCTCAGGCCGTCATGGGTTCAGCCGGCGAGACTCAGATAACCCCGACCCATGTCAACGACGAGGAAGCGAACCTCTTCGCGATGCAATTGGCCAGCGCATCCGTGCTTCCCATGATTCTGAAATCAGCTCTCGAGCTGGATCTGCTCGAGATCATCGCCAAGGCTGGCCCTAATGCTCAGCTTTCTTCCTCCGATATTGCCGCCCAGCTTCCGACCAAGAACCCCGACGCCGCCGTGATGCTGGACCGCATGATGAGGCTGTTGGCCTGCTACAACGTACTCAGCTGCTCGCTCCGAACCCTTCCGGACGGCAAGATCGAAAGGCTCTACGGTCTGGCCGCTGTCGCTAAATACTTGGTCAAGAACGAAGATGGCGTCTCTATTGCTCCTCTCAACCTCATGAATCAGGACAAAGTCCTCATGGAGAGCTGGTACTTCCTTCTCCCTTGCCCACTCCATTACTTAATTTACTTTAACCTAATGCTTACTGTTAACTTCTTAACTAATCTAATTTATAGATTAAGATAACTAATTGTGCTAGTAGTCGTTAATTTTAACATTCTTTTAAGTAATGATAAAATGCGATCTCTGAGGACAAAATGGACGGGTTATATTGGTTTCGTTTATTTTAATGTTTATTGATTTGTTTATTAAACGTAACAATTATATATGTCGGGTCCATCGATGGAAAGATCAAGAGATGTTCAGTCTCGCACGCTTCCATGGGGCGCTCCAATTGGCGGGTAGGGAGAAAATAATTATTGATCGTCATGACATGGAGATACGGCATATTTAGATTTTTTTTTTTTCAAACCACAAAATAGGGAAGGTTATAAATAAAGTGGCATACTCCATTTTTTTTTTTAATCTCTCCTTAATCATTTTAAAAATAGAGAGATTCTGAAGTGGAAATAAAATTCTATCCAACTTCAAGAGTTATCACTTTCACATCACTGAGGAAGCAAGGGTGCGGTTTGTTGATAGAAATTGAGAGGAATGTTTTGAAAGCGAATTCCGGTTTTGAATGGCAATTACCAGTTCGGGCAAGTTATGTAGATTAGGAGTATTTGCCCGTACTTGTAAGCAAAGAAAAAAGAAGAATTAATTAATTAATTAATGAAATAGTTAATCACACCCGGAAGATTAATTAATTATTTATGTGGGTACGTGAAAGTGGCACAAAATTCAAAGGGGTTAGAGGGGGGAAAACTTAAAAAGGCATATAAAGAGCGGGCCCAACCAGAAGGGCTAGTGTTGAATATATATGGAGGGGCAGATGGAATGGGACAATGGAGATTGGAGGCCACTCATAAGTTGTGCGGTGTGTGGAAAGCGGAAACTATTAAGTAATGGGAATGGGGACCACACTCTTTGAAAGGTCACCACTCTACCTACCGCACATGCCATTCTTCTTCGCGTTTCCTAGTTATTACTCCTCTTATTTTTAATATAAAATCTATTTTAACTAATTTGATTGGATTAAAAAAATTAAATAAATCATTTAATTATAAAAAATATGTCATATTTTTTCTAAAACACTATAATCATCTTTCTTAATATCTTATCTTCCTCTTCTACTTGATTATAATTGAGAAAAATCTGTAAGGGTAATTTTAAAAAAATAAATAAATATGATAAATAGGTCTTATATTGAGAATTAAAATTAACTCAACAATTAAGTCTTATATTAAGAACTAGAGGAGTAATTGATTTAACTTTTATGCCCTTTACCAAGTTAAGTGTTGAGTAATGCTTTATTTTTTGTTTTCATGAGTCATGACTATTTCTATATTCTCATTTTTAGTTACGGCCTACGGGCTAACGTTAGTTGATCTAACTTGGACTATGTATAGTCAGAGGCGAATTTATAAGTCTGTCTCGAATTTTGTCCAAATTAGTAGAATTTTTACCTCTACTCTTTTCGAAAATGTAGATGCATTTTAATTAAATTTCATTTTTTTAAATAAATAACTTTTACGTATTATCAATGAAGCGCATTAAAAAAAAATAAAATTAAGAGTAAAATTAATATTTGAGACGAAAAAAAAAAAGGAGAGTTAGTTTTGCAACAAAAGTTAAAAGAAAATTCACGTAACTTACTTCAGCAATTAAGTGAAGTGAATTGAGAAATGTTGAAAGGAAGGGTTGAGAATTGAGAGGTTGGATATTGACATGGTGATGTATATATGGAAGGTACTACTTGAAAGACGCAGTTCTGGAAGGAGGGATTCCATTCAACAAGGCACATGGGATGACATCGTTTGAGTACCACGGCAAAGATGCGAGGTTCAACAAGGTGTTCAACAAGGGCATGGCCGACCACTCCACCATCACCATGAAGAAGATTCTCGAGACCTACACCGGCTTTGAGGGCCTCACATCCCTCGTTGACGTTGGTGGCGGCACCGGCGCCGTCATCAGCATGATTGTCTCTAAGCACCCCTCCATCAAGGGCATTAACTTTGACTTGCCCCATGTCATTGAAGACGCTCCCTCTTATCCAGGTCAGGCCTTAATTCTCAACTTCCCCTTAATTATGCATATCTTTGTGGACTTATTTTGTGAGTTCTGAGATTCAAATTGGTGTTTGCTGCAGGTGTTGAGCATGTTGGTGGCGACATGTTCGTCAGTGTTCCAAAAGCAGACGCTGTTTTCATGAAGGTGACTTCGCTTTAGCTCTTACACTCTGTTTGATGGTGCATTGGTTTTGGTTAAATCCATGTTTTGACCAAAACTTGCTCTTACATCTTCAAAATCAATATAGTAGTTAATACCAATCACACACTTTGAATCATTGAACCATCTGGTTGTATTAGATTTTCAAGGGCCCGAACGAGTCACATCACCTTACAACTAGGCTATGAAGCCAATGACAAAAAATTGGGGAAAAAAAAACTTTGGATCCTTGTGTGGGTCTTACACTGTCACCTAAACCTAACAAACTTGCAATATTCTATGCTTGAATTGCAATTCATTGATGGCCCAGAAACATTTGGTTCATTGGAAGGCTTGGCTCACTGGTAATGTAATGTAAATGCAGTGGATATGCCATGACTGGAGTGACGAGCACTGCTTGAAATTCCTGAAGAACTGCTATGATGCTCTTCCAGAAAATGGGAAGGTGATAGTGGCGGAGTGCATTCTTCCGGTGGCTCCGGACTCCAGCTTGGCCACAAAGGGAGTGGTCCACATCGACGTTATCATGTTGGCTCACAACCCCGGTGGCAAAGAGAGGACTGAGAAAGAGTTTGAGGCTCTGGCCAAGGGTGCTGGCTTCCAAGGTTTCCGTGTTGTTTGCTCTGCTTTCAACTCCTACATCATGGAATTCCTCAAGAAGCCTTAACTTCTTCAATTTCTCTCGCTTCTTCATACATACATACGTGATGCATTTGAGCTTGTCACTTTGTGATTCTGATGCTTTATGTACAATCTGTTGATCCGGAAATTCTAGTTTTCTTTCTATATAGGAAAAAGAATCATCAAGAAGTTATTGTATTCTGCCTGGATAAAATAAAATGAGTCTTTTCTCTTGTGGCTTAGGAATTTGCTTCCTTAACTGTCCACTCTCTTTCTTCCCTGTGACAAGGCATCTTCTGTGCTTGTTGGGGGTAATTTTAACAATATGCTGATTGCTGAGCAAACCGAAACTGAAATTAGCTTCTGCGATTGAAATACTGTTGAGGTCTTAATACATGGAATCAGTTTTAATGCTCATCACTTTGATGAGTAAAGTAAGCTAATCAGATCTTAACTATTTATATCTTATTTGGATGGTCTAAATGTAATTTTTTTTATTTGTCTAAAATAATTATTTTAATATGTATAGAATTTAAAATAGAGATAATTTTTTAACTAGCATTTTTTCAAAAAATGATTTTTTTTTTCTATTTAAAAGTAGTTAATTAAAAATTTTAAGTCTGAACTATTCAAATCACATATAAACGGTTTAAAACTGATGAGTTTAAGGTACTCATCATGATAATGAATACTGAAACTAGTTCCATTAACATGTACAGCCTAACATAACTCAGATGATAGGTTCTGATACATAACAGTTACCATTACACAGAGGCAACACTCATAATAGGTGAGAAATCATAAAAGAAAACATGGGGAAAGGAGAGGGAAAGAGCAGAGCAAAGAGAAGCCTCCAAGGAGAGACAACACCAGAAACTTCCACACCATTTCGCTTGCAAAACTTGAGACACGTAGCCACTATTCCCTGAACCTTAACGGTTTCTTTGGTGCGTGAGTACTCCTTACACACATCCTCAATAGTGCGCAATACAATGTTGTCCTTATTGGCCACATATATATGATGTCTAGGACCTACCAATGACTGGGAATGGAAGGAGGTAATCAAAAGAACACGATAGTCACATTGGAGAAGGGAAGTAGCTAGAATATATCATCCAAGGAGATGAGCTGCAACAGGCCACTATGTGTATTTAGAGTCCAACTTAGCTTATTGGAGATCCAAAACACAAGTACACGCTTTGGGGGAAGCAAATTGGGCTATCATCCGATGCGCTGAGGGTAGGTAAATCCATATTGGAATGCACATTCAAAAAGCTGATGAATTCAATTATGGGGCTGTTGTATTTTCGTATTGAATTCAATTACGTCATCACGTAATGTGCCCTGCACAGATGAGCTGTGAATCCAGGAACACACCCTTCTCATTATTCACCGCTAAATGACGACGCCTTAGCATGATGTCATCCCATGACGATTCTGTGATCCCATCCCAATTTTTATTATCAATTTTAATTTAAAAATGGAAAAATCTTTTTTTTCTTCTGAGTTGATGGTATTCAACGCCTAGCGATTATTAATCCCCTCACATAGTACTGGCCATGAGGTCTCTCTATATACACTCAGATCCTCAATTTTTAATTTGAGATTTATGTATTTTTCCTCTCAATTAAATTTTTTTTGGAAAGAATTCAGTAAATAAAAATAAGAAAAATATAAGCATATGCAAAATAAGTTTTTCAAAAAAAAATCGTCAGTTAACATCACTTGAAGCTTTTAAAACTTCAAATTCACATCATTTTAATATACTGACTTTAATTTTAAATATAAAATACAAAATTTTGGATAGTATATTACTCCTCTAATTTTTAATATAGGACCTAATTGTGGAATTAATTTTGATCATAAATATAAGATTTATTTGTTATATCTATCAATTTTTTTCAAATCACCCTTATTGATACTCCCTAAACCATAATCAAGTATGAGAGGGAGAGAGGATATAATGAAGATGATTAAAGTATCTTAGAAAAACATGTCATATTTATTATAATTAACCAACTTATGTAATTTTTTTAATCTAATTAAATTAGTTAAATAAATTTCATATTAAAGAACTGATGAGTATTGTGGTTTTCTTACACGAAGATACCTGAATCCCAATGTGTTTTATATGGTTGAAGAACAAAACCGGGCCGACAGTCTCCATCAAATCCAAATGTGCTCTCGATAGCTTAAGAACAAAACCAGGCCGACAGTCTCCATCAAATCCAAATGTGTTCTGTACTGTTTAACAACCAAACAAGGCCGAAAGTCATCACCAAAACTGTTAGTTGAGGCGTTAGCAGCCTCACTCCCATAAGTAAGAGAACAAAAATTTAAATATCAGGAAGCGTACTTGTTAGAAGGACTATTTCTTAACTGTTTTAAACCCGAAAGGGATTAGTTTCAAGTCTAATGTATCTAAAAAATAGCCGACAGTCTCTGTCAAATAGGATCAGCACAGCTTGTTATATTGAATTGATTGATTACCTATGAAAATGCTACAAAGTCTACAACTGGCGATAAGATTGCCAACACGATGGCACATTAGATGTCTTATTCTATATTATCAAGTGAGGCGTTGAAGTTTCGAGAGTTCCAAGATACTCCTCCGGTCCTTATTATAAGACCCAATTTGACTTTTTATTTGGTCCTAATTATAAGACCCAATCCATTTTCTCTCTTATATTTATGCATTTTTTTCCAAGATAATCCTTCTAATAATGATAGTTTTAGCCAATATACTTAATTAGCAAGGATATTTTAGGAATAACAACACTTATTTATTATAAATAACCAACTTAACTTACTTCCTTAATTTCCTCAAATAAGTCAATTGGGTCTTATAATTAGGACCGGAGGAGTATTAAAAAAAAAAAAGAAAGAGTCCCAAGACGTTCAATATCTGGGTGCCTAGAGTAGAGAGATCATTCCCACGGAGATTATTGCCCCCGCATAGGAGCTAATCAGGCTGATAGAGTAAAATTAAAAGCTTTAATTAAGAAAGAAATGTACAAGTATCGTATGAAATATTGAGGAAAGGTAGAAGTATCTATAAAATCTTTTTTTTTTTCGTATCAATTATGGCTCCACGCTTTCAAGGTAACTTCCACAACTTCATCTGTGATTATCTGATTTAGGCACCGAACTTATTGACAGATTAGCTACCCCATTTGCCCCAGCAAGACAAACAGGCAATCATACTATTCAACCTCGCATGATTATCGCCCAACCCTATTATTGAACATTATCCCAATTTAATTTGTATAAGACTCACTTAGCTAATTTAGGAAGATTAAAAAACTAAATAAATTATTTAATTATAGAATATATTATATAATATTTTAAAAATATTTAAATGCATCATTAGATTGTATATTAGCTCATAAATTAGAGATATTAGTTTGGAGATAAATAATAAATATAAATAATTTAAAATAATTCGTTTGGTTTTTTTATTTTTTTTCCAAATTAGTCAATTGAGTCTTATATTAAGGGGGTGTTTGAATACCCTGAAAGGTGCTTCTCAGAAGCACTTTTTCACAAATCGAGATAAACTTCTCCACATATTTATCTCGTAGACCGTGAAATTACTTCTAAAATCATGGTTTGGTTTCCATCTAAACACCCCCTAAGAACTAAAGATAGTATAATACTATCTCTAATTCTAAATATAAGAGTTAGACAAGAGGTTTGTTTTGATGTTAAATATAAGGTTTTAATTTAGCTTGTCTCTCAGATTTATAATTTTTTTTCCAAAATATTCATATTACTGGGTATATAATAAGGGGTTTTCATCAAGGCTGCGATGTTCTACAGAAAGCAACGCAACACTGAGGATGGAAAAGCTGGCCGTTAATAACTCAATCTAGATTTTTAATCGCACCCTCGTTGATTGTTGAGCTGATGAAGTTTTTCCTCTATATATTATCCTGCAAAGCCAACACCAAACTTGAAGCTGCCCGGCGGAGATCATTAGCTGCCAAGGAAACTCTCGATCATTCACTAAGCCAACGCAAAAGTGTCTTCTTTTGTCCCAAAGTGAATAATTGTATGCGGATTATACGGGCGGTGTTAATTATAATTTATTAAATGCATAATCACAAGCTGCATAAAACAACTCTTATCGTCTCGTTTACTCCTTATTTAATTCATAATTTTTTTGACCAGTCCTTAGTTAATTCTGAACATTAGCTTTGGTCCTTAATATAAAGCATAATTAACTAATTTAAAAAATTTTAAAAAGTTATTAAATTACTTTTAAAAATTTATATTTATCATTTTTATCCAAATTGATTTGTCTTATTTGTAAATAAATATATAGTCTAATGATACATATAAATATTTTAGAGAGATGATGTAACATATGTTATAATTAAATAATTTAACAACTTTATCTGTCTCTCCAAATTAATCATGTAGGTCTTACATTAAGGATTAAAAGTAATACTCTAGTTTTTAATATAAGAAACAGTTTAATATTTAATTTTGTCCTAAATATAATATCTCAATCTAATTTATCTCTTATATTTATCTTCTTCTTCTTCTTTTTTTCCCAACATAGTCATTGTTTAGGCAACTTCAGCAACTAAAATACTGTTGATTTCTGCAACTACTAATATGCATAGCTCAACACAACTACGATAATAGGTTCTAGAAAAGATAACATGGAGAAAGGGGAGGAAAACATGAGAGAGAAGAGAAACCTTCAAGGAGAGGCAATACCAAAACTTCCCACACCCTTTCCTGATCCTCCCCGTGTCATTGGTGCACGAGTACTCACTCCTACGCGCATATTTAGTAGTGCACAACACTGCGTTGTCCATATTGGCCACATATCATGTCTAGGACCAACCAATGATTGCGGACATCATAATATTTCATTGGTCTTTATTAATGAATACCCTGAACATAGTCCACCACATTCGTTTCATTAATTCATACTAATGTTACAACATTCTCAGGATTCAATTCTGAGATTACAATGTTTTCCTTAAATGCCTTACTGAGATCAGTAATGAGGAAGCAACCGGCTTTAAGAATCTTCATCGCTGCACTAATGAAATATTCTGATGGAGCAGAAGAAATCATGTAGCAGTGCTATGACCTAACACGGAGTGAAAATTGGAAGAAGAAAGAGGGAACTATGGTCCCTTAATCTAATCTTCAATCTCACGTTTAAAAAGTTTTAGCCGTTCTTGAAAAGTTCCAAACAACTGATGTCTTTCTGCAAGTCTCTGCTCCAGAACTTCTTATAATACTCTGCATAAGTATAGCCCCTGTATATGGCTCCCCGTCCATCTTCTGTGAGTGGTTTTGCAGGGCTGATCAAAGCATCGTCCTGAGGACACAGAAATGAAGCCACCGAAAGCCTTGGCCTCTCTGAGTTAACCACAGCACGATGCCACACACTCTTGTAAACCCCATTACTCAGAGCCTGCAAAACCATATTCCACACAAAACTGTGAACAATGAATGAATATAATAGATGCTGCCATGAACAAGACGAGCGTGATGTTGTTTAGTGCAGTGGGGTACCTGGATTTGATCCCCAATGTTGATAACGAAGGCATCAGGTTGGGGTTTAATGGCGACCCACTTTCCGTCTTTGAGAACTTGAAGCCCTGAAACGTGGACGTCTTGTAGGAGAATGGTAAGAGCATTAGGGTCGGTGTGACCTGGGAGGCCAAAGGTGAGCTCTGGTTCTGGACATGGAGGATAGTAGTTGACCGCCATGTGTTGACCTTGTTCACCTAACACCTTCTTTATGTAATCCTTCTCCAGCCCCAAGCTTTCTGAAATGTATTCTTCTATCCTCTGCCCCAACTCTCTCACCTCCATGCAGTAATTTCTCACTGTATCTCTGTTCATCATACCATTTCATGCACTTTACATCACACTCCATATTACAAAACGACAAAACAAAAAATATTTATAGGGATGATTGCGTGCTTAAAAATGTTGCGTTAGGTATAGACTTGTGAAATAGTAGCAATAAATTAATTAATTAAGATTTGTCGTTAGAAATTTAAAGACGATATATTATCAAACACAAAAATGAAAGGAAAAAGTGAGAGAAAAGCTCCCTGTTAAAAATTTTATTAGTGAGAATGACGGGATCATTTAAATGTTAATATTATAATTAAAAAAAAAAAAGAGGAGAGAAGAGGATGGGAAGAGACTACGGGAAAATCTTTTTCTATCAATACTTCACAAATTTTGTGCATGTTTTTCCACAAAAAATATTTTAATAGGTTTTGATAAAGCTGGACTTATAAATAATAAGAGTAAAAAAAATTTCTTTTTGTTGGATTTTTCTCTCTTGAATACCAATGAAATCTTCAATAAAAACTTTTCACGCATTTTATGAAAAAAGGGAAGAAATGGTCAAATGGATGATAAGCATTGAAGGCGTGTGGATCTTGACATATTTCTAGAAGGGGGTGACTTGGTCCGTCCAAGAAAACGTCAATGCTCAATTGGAGTCCTTCAGTGATATCAGCAGCTCAGGAAAAGCCCAGATCCTCCCACCAAAGCCGGGGGCTCATAACATCACATCCGGCACCGACCCGTTCATTTAAACGGGGCCGGTGGTACGAACCACTTGGCTTCTTAATTAAAAAAAATCATAATCATTTATTATAGTCGTAGTTCTATAAAATTTTTGAACTTTTTTTCCCCCATAATCGGTGATATTCAGTCGTTCATATTTTACCTTTGCATTTTCAGTGACAGCGGTGTCCTATCATATTTTTGGAGCACTTTTCCAACGCTTCAACCGTTTCAATTATCATTATATTTATTTTTTGGTAAAAAAATAGAATCATTCGAAATTTCAAAAGATAATTTATCCTATTGAATTAATTTTTTGTGTGGACTAGTTAATTAGGAAAAGTTAATTGTAGAAAGAAATGACAGTATGGTGCCAGGAGCACCGAATAAAACAAAGAACGGCAGCCAGAATCCAGAATCCAATCTAACTTTATTTTGCCATTTTAATCGTTCAACATGTGACCTTTTAGGGGCTGGCGAGTTTCTTTATTGCGAAGAACATGACACCAACATGTAAAAGAATAAATACACATGTAATATTATGAGGAAAAGAATATATCCACGTCATCATGTTCTTGAGTCATTGAATTTATCCTTAAATATTTAAAAGTCTTAATATTAATAGAATTTTAATTTTCTTTATAATTTCAAATAGTTGAATTTAGTTCCTATAATTTTATAATGATTTGATTTGAGTCTAAGTATAAAAAATAAAATGACAACTCAATAAAAGTATATGGATCATGTCTTAAATTCAGATAAAATCTTTATAAAATGACATGAATCAAGACTCACAATATGAAATTATATGAACTAAAATCAAAATTCAATCAAACATAGTAATCCTATTTAAAAACACATATCCTTATTAGAGGCACAAAAAGAGGGATAAATTCTCTACTTTTAGTCATTTCAAAAGATAAAATATATAAGTTGATCCAAAAAACATACATAAAATTAGTATGGCACAGATTATTATTTTTTATTTACTAAAATGAATTGTTTTTAAGGTTTTCTATCATATATATGTTTATGGGTAATGGAAGCTATCAATCAATTCCATATATTTATGAAAATTAAGAAAAGCCGCATTATTAAAAACCAATACACTATAAAAACTTATTTTGAGTTCCATGTTTAAAAAAACACAGAGCACTATTTTTTTAGCCGGATAATTAAATGAAGCTCAAATATATTTTTTTTTAAAGAGAAAATTATTTAGAAATGAGTTTTTTTTTTTGTTTTAGAAATTTGTACATGAAACATCGCATGTGAAAGAAGGATATATCAACAGTGAATTGTCCTAATCTAAGGTTGACATATTTAAAAGGATGTTTAGATAGAAATCAAATTATTATTTTAAAAATATTTTTATAATTTACAAAATAAATGTATGAAAGAATTTACTTCTGAAAAAGTGATTCTTAGAATTAATTTTGAGGATCGGCAAACACCTGTTTAAATTGTACTAAAACCCGGAAGAAGGGAAGAAGGAAGCAGAACATACTTGAAAGAGGGAGGATTAGAAGGCCATTCAGGGACATAGGTGTGGAGAGGATAACAATGGAGTCTGAGGTAGTCCCTCCAATTATGGACCTTCTCCTTGTTCACGTTGAAGCTCGTCGACAGTCTCACTGTCTTCGAAGGATCCTCCGAGTACAGCTTCATCTTCTCCTCCACCGGCAACCCGAAGAACTCATACGCCACTTCCGCCATTTTCTTCACCGCCTCCAAATCCACCCCATGATTAATCACCTGCACATCCAGTTAGACATATCACACTTTCAGCTATTACTTGAACAGAGCACCAACACACCCGTCAAGACCATCTATCTATAGTATGAAATCGTGGGGAAACTAATTGGAGGACCTGGAAAAAACCATAGGACTTGCAGGCCTGGCCAACTCGGTGAACCGTATCATGTCGGTCAGGGGAAGACAGGTCGATGACGGGAACATCCTCACATGCAGAGACCTGGGAGAGACGAGGACGCTCCGATTCCGGGCGAACATAACTCGGCGGGAGGCTGGTGTGGTGGATTCCAGAGGAGAGGACCTTGGCTTGCATTTTACGGGGAAGAAGGAGGAGAGGAGGAAGACAGTGAGGACTCTGTTTTTGGAGGTAGAGAACAGGGGACAGAGGAAGGGGCAGGGGGGGGAGTGATTTGGCTGAAGGGCTGCCTTGAGGGTCATAGGTAGGGATGCATTTATACAAGATCATTGATTGCGCAGGGGGGCCCTCCCTCACTTTTTCCATTTTAAATATAGTAATTCGCCATTACCGCCAGCATTGCTTGGCTTTCCTCCAAATCCATCTCATCCAATAGGAAAAAATCTGGACCATGTTTTGAAAATTATCATCAAGTCTAACCACAATTAAAAATATAACTATGCAACTTGGAGTGACTTGGAGTTATTTCGAGACTGTACTGTTCACACACAAGTTAATAAAACGTAATAAAGGCTCCGTTTGTTTGGAGTCAAATTAATTGCAAAACATATTTCACGCAATTCGAAATAATTTTTTATAGGATGAAATATTAGTTATAAGTTATTCTAAATGGGTCTAAAAAGAAAACACAAGATGCTCCTCTCTCCATGAACTCTTCTCCTGCACATAGGGAAATTTTTTTTAGTCCGATTTATACATCTTTTTATTTTATTTTTAATATAAATATACTATTTTATTTTTTTTATTACTATGTAAATAGTTTTTTTAATGGTGCATAAATAGAGGTAAAATTAAAAATTTGCTATATTTTAAATAAAAGGCAATATAATTTAATATTTTTTTAATTATATAAAACATGCTGAAATATCCTATAAATAGAATAGAATCAGATGAGGGTCTAGGTATGTTGGCCCTACTTTCCTAAAACTGGGAATCTGAATGACTACAAGTGAGTGCCCCAGTTCTGTGCCCCTTCCCGAGGCTAGTAAAATTTCACAGAGCACCGTACAAGTTGAAGGATTGGAGGGGGCAAAAGAACAGGACAAGTGAGAAGGGATGCAGAGGGAGGCATAAGATGCCAGGGCATGAGTTGTAACGAAGACATGGGTGCTCAATTTGGGCCTTACAGTGCTGCACTTGACCAAGTCAAATAAAGCTGAGGGTAAGGAGTAAGGACCAAGTCAAGTTGAGGGGAGGCAGAGATCCCAAAAACAAAAAAAAAGAAGGGAAAATTTCACTGTAGGACCGCAGAAGACAAATAATCTCAAAGAGCCCTAAAACTTTCTGAAACCTCACTGCAGGACCAAGGGGCCAATTTGATATTAATTCCACAAGCGAAATGACGCCACTACCCCTCATTTTACTTTCGCTGAAATTTGAAAATAAGGCAAAAAAGCGACGGTCAAAAGTCCTCCCGCTCTCTCTCTATGCGAACGTAACCCGTGTGCGAAAACTGTTCCCTCTCCCGCTCTGCGAACGTGCAACCACTCTGGGAAAACTGCTGCGTCTCTCGATCTGCGAACGTGCTACCACTCTACGAAAAATCTGCCCTATCCCGACTGCGAACGTGCTACCTCTGTGGGAAGATTCCTGCCTCTCGCAATCTGCGAAAAGTGTTCGACGTGGCCCCCAAAAATTCCATCAGCTTCAATCTGCAGGTTCGTGGTAATCACTAGAAGCGGAAGGAGAATAAGAAGAGGCCGACAAAGGAGGAAACTTGCAAGGCTATCGACAAAGAAGGAAGAAGCAGGGCGAGAAGAAGTCACTGATTTCCATTTGGTAAGCTTCGCGGTCCCCGTTAAATGCAGTAGATTTCTTGGATTTTGTTTTCATGGTAGGTTAAGGAGGAATGACCCACTGAAAGGTGGGTGTGTTTGGTAATGACATTTAGGTTCTAACCTAGGAATGATTACCAATGTGTCACATAGTGTTCGGCCATTTCCCTGACTGCCCTTTAGCAAATGCTCCTGATTTAGTGAGCGAAGGCTTGTGAGTGTAGCATGAAGAGTTTGTGTGGGGGCTAAGTAAGAAAGTTATTAATTATTTAGAGAAAAATTAGTGTTGGTAGTTAACTGCATTGCTATAGTGTTTGTAGGCATTTTGCAGGAATAAGGAAAAGAATTGGGAGGGGCAAATGTTGTCGTATGGATTAGGCAAATGAGTTTGTTTTGTTTGGTTTATCCCGTTGATTGTTGGAATGTGAGATTTTGTGGGCTAACAATGGGAGTTAGTCAATTGACGTGAAGAATTAGTTGACTAACCAGTTCCATGTGACAACCTCATGTGTACATATATCTGTCAACTTAGGCAATTTACACGAAGAATCAGTAAATTACCAGTTATGTTTGTTGGAATCTGATTTGTAGTGGCCTCACAAGGAAAATTAGGAAATTGACACGAGGAATTAGGGGTTTATCCAGTTAGCTTATGTCAAACAGTTTTCATGTTTCCGGGAATCTGTCAAGTTAGGAAATTTACATGGAGAATCAGTCAATTACCCACTAAGTTTGTGGGAATTTGGTGTGCAGTTGCCTCACAGGGAAAATTAGGCAATTGACACCAACAGTGAGCTGGATTTCCACTTAGCTTATGTGTAACTGTTTGATGCGTGCTGGACTGAGAAAGTTAGGAAATTTACCTCGACAATTAGTTAATTAACCACCCTGTTGCATAATTGCATGTTTGTGGGAATGTGGTTTGCAGTGGCCTCACAGGGAAAATTAGGTGATTGAGACAAGCAATTAGGTGAATTTCCACTTAGCTTCTGTTTAAGTGATTGATGTGTGGTGGACTCTGGAAGTTAGGGAATTTACATGAACAATCAGTAAAGTAACAACTGGCAATTCAAAATTTCTTGTTTGTTGGCATGTGATCCGTAGCGGGCCTCACAGGAGAAATTAGTCAATTGACACGAGGATTTAGGGGATTATCCGCGTAGCTCCTGTCTGACGGTTTCATATTTTTGTTGAATCTGTCAAGTTAGGAAATTTACATGGAGAATCAGTAAATTACCCACTAAGTTTGTGGGAATTTGGTGTGCAGTTGCGTCACAGGGAAAATTAGGCAATTGACACCACCAGTGAGCTGGATTTCCACTTAACTTATGTGTAACTGTTTGACGCGTGCTGAATTCAGAAAGTTAGGAAATTTACCTCGACAATTAGTTAATTAACCACCTCTGCTGCATAATTGCATGTTTGTGGGAATGTGGTTTGTAGCGGCCTCACAGGGAAAATTAGGCAATTGACATGAGCAATTAGCAAAATTTTGACTGTTCGCCAGTGTAATTGTTTGATCTGTGTTGGAGTGTGAAAGTTAGGAAATTGACATGAAAAAGTAGTTAATTAACCACTTCTGTTGCATAATTTAATGTTAGTTGGAATCTGATCTTTTATGGCCTGACAATGATTGTTAGCTAATTTACACGAAGAATGGTGTCATTATCCAGTTAACCTGCATGTAACAATTTGATGTCCTGTCGTATGACAAGTTAAGGATTTAACAATAATAATTAGTGTGTATACAATTTCCGGGTTTATGTTACAAGAAATGTTGGATGGTATGAATGTTGCTGTTTAATGTACTAACTAATGACTTTGTGATTATTGGATACAAGAAGAAGATGGGAAAAAAGGACTCACAAGTTACCGGCTGGAAAGTATTTAAGGGAGAATATTGGGAGCAAAAGAAGCAGGAGATGCATGGAAATATGGGAGCAATCACAGATGCGGCTTCAGCAATTTGGAGGGAGATGAGTGATATTGACAGGGAGCCGTACAGGAAGAAGGAGGAACAGCTGATAGAGGAGAAGAAGAAGAAGGAGAAATATGTGTCCCCATTTTCTACTCGGTGCTCCCCCACAAAATTCAAGGAAGTGGCAAAGTTTATAAATGGCAAAGAAAATTTAAAGCGCAAGGTAGAAGAAATGGGGTTTGGTCATCTTCTTGGTATTACTTTGAATAAGCTGCCCAGAGATTTATGTCTGGAGTTGATTCATGCATATGACCCCCCAAGTAAACAAATTACCATAAGGGGGAAGACAAAGAAGGTCACTAGTACAAATGTTAGGAGGGTTCTTGGGTTACCAGATAAGGGCTCCAAAGTGAAGTTGGATGGCTTCAAGGATGAAGTAAATGAGCTGAAGAAGGACTATACTCCACTGACATATTCTCAAATTGCGGAGAAGATAAAGAGTGATGAAGAAGATGGAAACTTTGAATTCTATTTTATTCTTTTCACAGTGGGCACTCTTCTTTGTCCCACGGGAAGTACAAGTGTGAGTGACAAGGTGCTAAAAGTAATGGCCTGCACAGAAAATAACTGGAAAAAATTTGACTGGGCTTCCTTTGTGCTTGACGAGCTCAGTGAGGAAATTAAACGGTATAATAGGAGCAGTAAGGAAGGACAGACCGAGAGTGCCAGAGTCGTCGGAGGGTGCATATACTTTTTATTGGTACTTGCATATTTCCTTACAAAATATGCCTTGTTGGATATACTTTGAACATTAAACTGTTGATGTATTATGTAATTTGATTTTTGAGTCATATTTTTTCTTTCTCTGCAGTTGCACTTCCTGCAAAGGTTCCCTCTACAGGGAGGTGAACCAAAAGACAAAGACGCCGTCAGACATTGGGATGATAAGGCTGTGAAGAGGAGAATTGATGCGGAAAAGGAGAGTCGACATGGCATTTTCTACAGTCCACCCGCTACTGAAGTGAATGAGTCAACACAACCAGGGAGCAGTACAAGTTTCCATCATCCGGTGAGTAATACCAATGTGATAATGTCTGTTGGTGAGACTTAATATCTGTTTGATGACATACATTTACAATGTGCAGGACATTAAGGAGTTTTGGCTCAATTTCAACAACACATTGAACAATGAGATGACCAAGATTCAAAACTTAGTTTGTGATGAATTAGTTAAGCTGGAAAACAAACTTCTTAACCGGGGAGGCAATGAAGAAGAAGGAAAAGAACACCACACTGAGGAGGATGAAAATGAGCGGCCACAACATGATGAAGTTATGACTGTAGAGAGCGGAGAAACACATGAAAGTGGTGACAAATCGCATGATGATGAACATCAAGAAGAAGAAGAAAAAGAGGAAGATGAAGACGAGAACGACAATGTGAGAGAAGATGAAGCTGCAGATAAGGATACTGAAGATGAACAGGCAGCTCAAACGGAAGAAGGGAAAATGGTGGGCAAAGCAGTGCA